CGGCCTCCATCAGAGGCGTGCGCATGATCTTGTTCTCGCGGATGGTGATGACGGGCGACGGCGAGTCGGGCTTGGTATCGAGGACGGCGCGGACGGCCTCCACACCCTGCAGAGTCGACAGCCAGCGGTCATAGGCACAGGCCGCACCACCTCTCTGCGTGTGACCCAGAACCGTCACACGGGTATCCAGACCCAGACGCTCGGTCAGAATATCCTTGACCTTGGAGCTCGAGATCTTGTTCAGGTGTCGGTCCTGTGCGCCCTCGGCCACGATGACAATGGTCCTCCGCTTTCCGCGCTCCTTTCTGTTCTGGAAGATGTTAGCGGACTCCCGGGAACATGGGTCAGGGTTGATGGTACCTTGGTGATGATGGAGCACATGTCATTCTCCCATCCATCCTTAGGAGGCATTTCAGGCACGAAGAGCCAGTCAGCACCGGTACTGATGGCAGCCATCAAGGCGAGCCAACCGCAGTGACGTCCCATGACCTCAATGACGAAGCCTCTCTGGTGGGAGAAGGCAGTGTCGAACACGTCGTCGACCGCATCACAGATACGGGTCAGAGACGAGTAACACCCGATGGTGGCGTCCGTGCCGGACATGTCGTTGTCGATGGATCCAACCAGGCCGACAATGTTCAAGATCTTGTAGGGCTCGACTTGCTCCTTGGTCAACTCCTTCGTCTCGACCAACTCCTCCAGCAGACCCGGCCACTCAGACCGGAAGAGATCGGCACCAGTCAAACTGCCGTCACCACCGCAGACCACCAGGGCGTCAATGCCACGGAGGACCATGTTCTTGGCGGCCTTCAGACGACCGGGGCGCTCGCGGAAGGTCAAGCAGCGAGCAGAGCCGATCAGGGTACCACCCTGAGACAGCCAGCCGCGGACGTCTTCCCAGTAGACCTGACGGATCATGTCTCCGCCGTTGACCAGACCTTCATAGCCTTCGAAGACAGCGTAGGCCTCGCAGTCGGAGTGGATGGCCATGCGGACGACGGCCCGGACGGCGCCGTTCATACCAGGAGCATCACCACCGGAGGTCAAGACCGCGATGCGGCGTCTCTTGGGGGGTTGCACGGGATTTTGGGGGGCAGCCATCGTGTCGATGACGACGAGTTCAGTGTGTTAGGGGGTTGTAGCTCCAATCCACGCGGGGGATGAGCAATGTACTTGATGAGGGGAGGATAGGCGACGGGATGATGAGTGAAAAGAGCTGGCAATGGCGGTTTGCGGAACGTTCCTCAGGTAGGATACCCTGTGTGACGGTGGGGGAGAAGAAGTTCCGGTGAGAAAAAGCGGGTGTGGGCAACAGTACGTCACAGACTTGAGGACTGGAGAGGTCCGGTAGTGCCCCGCCGAGTGAGTGAGTTAACGGGGGGAGGAGTAGAGCGGGTGGAGGGAGGACAAGTGTGCGAGGAACAACGAAAAGAACACGGAAAAGTCAGACTCAAGGAATTCTGGTCTTGATGAGATGCGGATGCAGCTGTCTTTAATGCTCGTGTCAGTTCTGGTGAGTTGAAGCTGGAGGCATCTGCCCAGTGGCATGACGAAAGAGGGGAGCAAGGCCAAAGGCGGCCCTTTGCGGCAGTTGATGTCACCGCTTCTGCGCCCGCCCAAAGCAGATTAGTGCGGGACATGTCACGTGACTGCTGCTAGGGTAGGGCCGCTTTCTGCACGTGAAGTCATGTGATATACCTTCAAACAGGATCCACGCGCATAATCTGGGTGATCCGATTGGAGCAAGCTGGAGCAAGCTGCAGCAAGCGACTGACACTACCTGCCATGTATGCTAACTACCAGGTAGACTCCCGCCCAGCCCATTGCCTGGGCTTCCCGAACCGGACAGTGAGGGGTCTTGCGGGCCGACCGTCGTTGCGCCCAGCCGGCAACCTCGACAATTAACATCATACCTCATAGAACTGGTTTGCCAGTGGAGAATGACAACATCAGAGATTGCTGGTGAAATATTGGTGATTCGTTAGCGAGGTACACTTGAATTAGCACTCATCTATACACATTCCAAACCTAAAAGTCTTTCGGGTTCCATGTTGAAGTTCAGCTCGTAAACAGATATATATTCCAGCCTTCCGACCGCTCCTCAGTCGTCGGGCACGTTTATCCATGACACGCAATGTGAGAACTGAAGACCTCATCATATCCTCGTATTCCAAGACCAAACCACGACAGAACGTAAGAAAAACGAAATAAACTAACGATGATCGCCAGGCGGACGGCTTTGCTTCAAGGATAGATGTTGCACTTCTAGTACAGTACTAACTACTCGTAGGTACGATTTTACTACTGATATCAGATGTCTAAACGGACACGTTCAGGCACATAATAAGTACTGTGCATAGTCCTGCAAATCAGCAGCACATGGACGATTCTCCATTGGTATAACTAGCTAGTACGGTCTTCCTGCTTGAAGGTAGATAGTACCTAAATGGCAAGCATCGACATCATATCGGTGCTTCTTTCGTCGATACGAGGATGTTTAAATGCCCTCATTCAGAGCATATGTGCAGAGAGAAGCAGGAGAGCTAGTTACACTCCTTACGCATAAAATCATGCTCTGGCTTCCTATTAAAATGTGTTTCGCAAGTTGCACCTCCATCAAAAAACGAAGCCTTATCGGAACTGATAACCCGAAGAACACTAAGACCAAACCAGACTAGCCCAAACAGCTCCCCCATCACGTGCAAACTGCCATGCTCTGTCTCCGGCTCCATCAATTGCACAAACTCCTCTCCTCGCCTTAGCTGCCACCTGACGGACAAACGACACCATGTCCGACTCTTTCACCCTCCCCCTGCGCCCGCTTCTCGAGAAGCGCGAGCGGCCGGACACCCTCCCCCAGGAAATCGCCCAGATCAACGCCCAGTACGGATCCTTCCGCGATGTCACCGAAGAGAGCCTGCGGGCCAAAATTGCAGAGGAGAAGAACAAGGACCCGTGGGCGGAGGAGGACGAAGCCGAGAAGCCCGCCGCCGAGGTCGACACCACGGAGCGAATGGACCAACTGTACAAGCGCCGCGCCGAGATCACACAATTCGCCATGTAGGTGATGGGGAAACCCCCGACCGACCAATAGAACACGGTGCTGATGGCAGGTGTTAGGCAGGCGCACATGGAAGCCCTGTTTGCCCTCGACTTCGTCTCGCTGCTCCTCTCGAAACACACCCCCCGACAAGCGGAGCTCTCCATGTCCGCCTACCTGAAACAGGTTGCGCCGCTGGGTTCGCTGAACGCCGAGATCGTGAACCCCCCGCCCAAGTCGGAGGCCGCGCTGCAGGACATCAAGACCGTGTCGCGGGGCTGGAGAATCCAGAACTTCAATGCGGCCGCCAACAAGCTGCTCCGGTCTGCGACCCGGCTGGAGACTGAGGTTGCGTCGGAGACAAAATACTGGGATGAAGTGCTGGCGGTGAAGAACAAGGGGTGGAAGGTCTGCCGTCTGCCCCGGGATAGACAGGCTCTCGGGGTGCAGTACGGGTTCCTTGAAGGTATGCATCCTTCTAAAATGCAGGCGTATAGTCATGCTGATCTTGGATATAGCTACGCCGATTTTCCGCGACCGAGGCCTGGCGGCGTTGCGGCGAGCCGATGACGGAAGCCTGCTGCTGGACAAAGGATTGATCCCCCAGAAGATCCGGACGGTCCGCGTGCGGGTCAAGACGCAGGGACAGTTTACTGGGTGTTCGAAGGTGTCTTGGTCTTTAACGAATGCCGACTCGATCGAGGGCCGGATTTTGCAAGCGCGCGACACGGTCTACGAGGAAGAGCTGTTTCACGAAATGGTACGCGAGGCTCGCATTATGGGCAGTCAGGGCGTGACGACGCGCCAGAATCTCGTGCAGGTTCCCGTTTCGGAAGAGCAGGAGGTTCTGCTGGACCTGGTGGATGTCGACCAAGGCGAACCGGCGGATACAGAGTCGCTTTCGAACGAACACGACACCCTGGCGGATGCAGTAGCGCACTCGATCCGCATTCTACTGGCCTACGCCCACCGACAGAATCTACGACGCAGGACACAGCCGCCGCCCCCTCTGACGCCAAAACGACGGCATGTTCCCGAGTACCAGCTGCTGCGTCCGGTGATGGCATACCTTCAGCACACCGCGCATGTGCGGTCTCTGGAGTCTTTTATGGGTGACATCGTTGGGGTGCTGAAGGCTGCTGGACTTCGTTGCGGCTTCACTTCCGCCCCCTTTTCGTCTGTGAGATTGCCCACAGTGCACGCTTCCGTGCCTAAAGTGGAGACCTTGGTCCAACAGTTCTTGATGCCATTCGAGTCTACGTTCACCGGCAACCTCCTCACCCCCGAAAGCTCCTTCTGCGTCAAAGTCCGGACCAACACCGTCTCCCCGCCATCGGGCACCTATTTTGAAATCACGGTGAACCTGCCGCATCACCCCGAGGTCAAGCCCCCCAGTCGCATTGGACTGCCGACCGAAGTAGCAGCCGCCCTCGCCCATTTTATGCTGCTCGATATTGTGACCACCATCGCAAATAAAGGGGTGAAGTCGCCGGAGGGCACCGATGCGGGCAAGGGCGTGCTGAGCTGGGAAGCGGCTTATGCGCACCATGGCGAGCTCCGGGCTCTCTCCGGCTCGGGGAACAACAAGAAGATGAAAGTCAGTCTGTCGCGGGAAGAGTTGACCGTCCAAACTTACCCATTGCGCGGGGTGGATGTGTCTGGCAGCGCAGAGAAGGGCAAGTCCGCAAATCCGCGCTCTCAGAGTTGGAGAGCTGATTCTAGTGAATCGCGACCAAGTCTGATGGAGTTTGTGGAGGAGGTGTCGCAAGATCGGCCTTAACTGCTACAGACTCGAGACTCGGTGGATTCACATGCGGCAAGAGCAGTGAAGCTTCCACGCAGTCAAACCGTACTGCTACCACCGTGCCGGCGCATCGAACCATAGTAAACCTCCCATGATACCCATGATATAATGCCATGATTCTTTCTGACACAGGTTCTCACGACGTAAGCACTATCTGTAGGAAGACGATTGAGGGAGACATTTGAGTTGGAGGCGGGCACTCCTTGCGGCGCGACCAATGGACTCGTTCCAGTGGCTCGGGCAAGCGGGACGGGTGAATGGAAGGGTTCATGTGGACGATGAGTTGGACAGGGCTATGCGTGGGTTATGATGCAGCACTGCAGCGATGGATGATGTTATTAACTTCAAGATTGAGTGAATAGGCAGCTGATGCAGCTGATTCTGGCGGATACAGAAGAGTGACCCCCACCCGGGCCTGGATTCCGTCCCCAGTTTCTCCCCGCATTTCGACGGGATCACCAACGCGACATTTGGAGTTTGAAGACAGCCTCTAAAGCGAGATGTGAACATTCGAGGATCAATAATGCTCATGTACAGTGAAATACTGCACAGGAATAGAGGAATAGATCTTGGGCTCATATCCCCCTTGTGTCATCGTCATGATCTTCCAGGGACGTATGTACAGTAAGAACTGGAGCTCCCATGAACCGAGGCTGATGGCCGGTCGGGGCATTACATAAGCCAGCGGATCCTGGTACCGTAATGCTGTAATTTACCTTTCTATACACAGTTGGCTGCTTGTTGATCACCCCAAGTGTCCCGCAAACCGGTAAGATACAGGGTGTGACCCGCCCTCGGTCGGGTGAGCTGCTGTCGCTCTGCTGCCGAGGCTTTTCCCCGACTTGGCCGGCCTGATCGTCTCATGTGGTCTTCCTCTTCTTCCACCAACTGCTCTCTGCTCTCTGCTCTCTGCTCTCTGCTCTCTTTTCTTCTTATTCCTCCCCCCTACTCTCGCTGCTCTTCTTTCTACCCTGCGACTACCAACTCACCTCTCTTCTACCACCCTCTCGTTCCAGTCACAACCGTGAGGGATGTTTACGGCTGCGAGCAGAAGCCGCCTCCCCACTCTCCTACGGCCCCGTCTTCCCCCCACAAATTCACTTCTCGCCCGATCAGCTGTGGTAAGTTGTCTCTCTTGATTACTGCGATCACGACTGACAATCTTCGGCAAAGTCCCCAGTCATGGCTCCCCGGCGCAAGGCCTCATCTGTCCCTGAGGGTAAGCGAAAGTCTGCCAATCCCCTAGCAACAAGACGGCTAACGCGCATTCGACACAGGCTACACAGAGGATCTCTCCAAAGGGAAGATGCTCCGCTTCGAAGACTCACTCCCCCGATTGCCCGTCCCTTCGCTAGAGGAAACCGGCCGGCGGTACTTGAAGTCCGTCCACCCCTTGGTGTCCGAGGCGGAGTACGAGCGCACCAAGAAGGCGGTAGAGGCGTTCGTGCGGCCCGGTGGTGAGGGCGAGCCCCTGCAGGAAAGGCTGCTCGCCCGCGCCGCCGACCCCAAGACCAAGAACTGGCTTCTGGAATGGTGGAACCACGCGGCGTACCTCGCCTACCGCGACCCGGTCATCCCCTACGTCTCCTACTTCTACTCGTACCGCGACGATCGCGCCCGGCGGGACCCCGCCAAGCGGGCTGCCTCGGTCACCACCGCCGCGCTCGAGTTCAAGCGCCAGGTGGACTCGGGCGAGCTGGAGCCGGAGTACATGCGCGGCCAGCCCATGGCGATGAGCTCGTACGAGTACATGTTCAACTGCTGCCGGATTCCGGGCGATGGGGTGGACTACCCCCAGAAGTTTCCCGCCCAGGACCACGAGCACATCGTGGTGGTGCGCAAGAACCAGTTCTTCAAGGTCCCCTTGGCCGTCAACGGCCGGCCGCTGAACAACTCCGAGTTCCAGCGCCAGTTCGAGCGGATCTACCAGATCGCCCAGCGGTCGCCCCCGGTTGGCGTGCTGACGGTCGCCAACCGAGACTCGTGGGCCGACGCCCGGAAGAAGCTGCTGGCAGCGCACCCGGCGAACGAGCAGGCACTGCGGGACATCGAGTCGGCCGGGTTCGTGGTGTGCTTGGACGATGCGTCGCCCGTGACCCTGGAGGAGCGCGCTCACCAATACTGGCACGGCGATGGCGCCAACCGCTGGTTTGACAAGCCGCTGCAATTCATCGTCAACGACAACGGCACGGCCGGGTTCATGGGTGAGCACAGCATGATGGACGGCAGTCCCACCCACCGTCTCAACGACCACCTCAACGGCCTGATCTTCGGCAACAAGATCGACCTCTCGGAGCAGGCGGTGCGGTCGGACCTGCCCGACCCGCGGCCGATCAACTTCCACCTCAACGGCGAGGTGGAGGAGGCGATCGAGGCGGCCACCAAAGAGCACCGGCAGCAGATCTCGAACCACGAGCTGAAGGTGCAAGCGTACCAGGGCTACGGTAAGGGCCTGATCAAGAAGTTCAAGTGCAGCCCGGATGCGTACGTGCAGATGATCATCCAGCTGGCCTACTACAAGATGTACGGCAAGAACCGCCCGACGTACGAGTCGGCGTCGACCCGCAAGTTCCAGGAGGGCCGCACGGAGACGATCCGCACGGTCTCGGACGAGAGCGTGGCCTTCTGCAAGGCCATCAGCGACCCGGCCGTTGCCCGGGAGGAGGTGGTGCGGTTGTTCCGCGCGGCGCTGGCCGCCCACTCCAAGTACACGGCCGAGGCCAGCGACGGCCGCGGCGTCGACCGTCACCTGTTTGGACTGAAGAAGCTGGTGAAGGAGGGGGAGAAGCTGCCTGCCCTGTACGAGGACCCGGCCTATGCATACAGCGGTTCGTGGTACTTGTCCACCAGCCAGCTGAGCTCGGAGTTCTTCAACGGCTACGGATGGAGTCAGGTGATTGACGATGGGTTTGGCATTGCCTACATGATCAACGAGAACAGGTGAGTTGCTTCTGTCACTGTGCATGGCCAGGACATTACTAACGTGTGTAGTCTGAACTTCAACATCGTGTGCAAGCGCCTGGGGGCGGAGCGCATGAGCTACTATCTGAATGAGGCGGCTTCCGACTTGCGGGACGTGTTGATGCCTGACCTGGCTGCTCAGAGCGAGAAGGCGAAGTTGTAGTATACCATAGATAGAGTGGGATGGGATCTGGAGATATACCTTGTAGATCAGAAGACCGTACTGAACTGAGTTGTTTACCCAAGCACGATGTGACATTGCTGTAATCTGGACTGATGATCCTACTGTAGTGATTTGATACATGTACACCACTAAGGCTTCCCGGGGGAGAACCCCCGGACCCCCCTTTTTTTCAGTTTCCCAGTAACCTCAACCCTATACATAGTATAAAGAGGCCTTGCCGGGGGAGAACCCCCTGGCCCCTTACTTTCAACTTCCCAGCAAAACACAAACCCGTAATGACGAGGGGGTTGCCGCCGTGACGAGTACATTGCAGTGTACGACAGAAAGCTTGGCTATCACGCCGAGCAGGAATGCCACACGTCACACCGGCGCATTTTCCGGCTGAATGGACGCAGCTGTGAATATCTGGAAGGCACATAATGGCTGCAGAAGTAGGGCACTCGAAGGCGTAGTGATGTGGTTACACTCAGCGGAGATCAGCCACAGCTGACGGAATGATCAACCCTGCCGATCTTATTTAGGGTGGAGTGCGGGGTGAGCTGAGCTGAGCTGAGTTTACAGTTAAATATGGGATGCCCCGATACCCCTCATTTCATTACTACTGCCTACTCTTGATTTCAACCACCTCTGCTTCAGTATACTGTATACTCACCTTCCACAGGACTGTCCCCTGTCCATACAAAATCACCATGGCTCAGAAATATGAACTCCCCTTCAAGGTTCGTACTGCCCAAGCATCTCCCTAGTATCTACCAAGACTAAGATGGGCAGCTCGATGACCCGTCCATCCTCCACTTTGACTCCTTTGTCAACAATGAGTGGACGCCTGCAAGCAGTGGGGAGAGGTTCGAGGTTATAGGTGTGTCTCTCTTCTTTGTCCTTGTTAATGCACACTTCCCTCTTTGATGAACCATTCAACCTGCATCATAATGTTCTTATATCGAAGATCCCCCGTACCCCCCCTTCTTATTCGCAGTGTATCACCTTTAAATCCATATATCAAACCTACACATATATACCCTTGATACTCACGGGGGGAACCCCCCGTGCCCCCCGTCTCTTCTGCTATCCAGCCTATCAATTTACACAAAAAATCTTAAAGATCACGGGGGGAAACCCCCCGTACCCCCCTTCATTCCCCCACTAACAATCCCCCAGACCCCGCAACCACAACCCCCTGGACCAGCATCCCCACCAACACGGCGTCCGACATCCCCAAATACACGAACTCCGCCTCCACAGCCTTCCACACCTTCCGCACGACCACCGCGCGCCACCGGGCCCAACTCCTCCAAAACTGGGACACGCAGCTCCGCACCCACCGCACGGACCTGGCGCGGATCCTTGTCCACGAAACCGGCAAGCCGCTGGCCGAAGCGCTGGGCGAGATCGACTACGCGCTGACCTTCACGTGGTGGTTCGTGGGCGAGCCCGAGCGCATCACCGGGACCATCACACCCGCCGCGCTCCCGGGCCGCCGGATCCTGACGCTCAAGCAGCCGATCGGGGTGGTGGCGGCGCTGGTGCCGTGGAACTTCCCGGTGGCGATGGTGGTGCGCAAAGCGGCGGCGGCGATCGCGGCCGGGTGCACGATGATCGTCAAGCCGTCGCCGGAGACGCCGGTCAGCGCGCTCGTGCTCGCGGAGCTGGCGCGGCGGGCGGGGTTCGCGCCCGGCGTGCTGGGCGTCGTCACCACCGATCTGGCGAATACGCCCGCCGTCAGCGAGGCGCTGTGTCGCGACCCGGCCGTGCGCAAGGTCACGTTCACCGGGTCGACGCGCGTCGGGAAGCTGGTGGCCGGGTACTGTGCCGACGGGCTCAAGAAGATGACCCTCGAGCTGGGCGGGAATTGTCCGTTCTTGGTCTTTGACGATGCCGACCTGACGCAGGCGCTGGACATGCTGATGGCGCTCAAGTGGCGGCATGCCGGCCAGGCGTGCATCACCGCCAACCGCGTGTACGTGCAGGCGGGGGTGTATGAGAGGTTCGTGGGGATGTTGAAGGAGCGCACCGAGAGGCAGATCAGGGTGGGGAACGGGTGGGAGGAGGGGGTCACGATGGGCCCGCTGACCACGCCCCAGGGGGTCGAGAAGGCGCTGCAGCAGGTGCAGGATGCCACAGCCAAGGGGGCGACGGTCGTGCTCGGCGGCGACAGAGTCCAGGGCAAGGGTTACTTCTTCCAGCCCACCATCCTCAGGGATATGACGGCCGACATGCGCGTGTCCAGCGAGGAGTCCTTCGCCCCCATCGCCGCGCTGTATCGCTTCGAGTCCGAGGAGGAGGCCGTCCGCCTGGCCAATGATACCGCCATGGGGCTGGCCAGCTACGCCTTCACCAAGGATGCCGATCGCCTGTGGCGCTTGTTCGAGAACCTCGAGGCCGGCATGATTGGGCTGAATACCGGGTCGTCGTCGGCGGCGGAGGCGCCGTTCGGCGGGGTCAAGGAGTCCGGGTATGGGAAGGAGAGTGGCAAAGAGGTTGCTGTTAATGAGTATTTGGTTACCAAGACGGGGACGTTGACGGTTGCTGGGCATTATTAAGTTTGTAGGGGGTTGGTTCTGGTGATGGATATGGTTGTGGATAATGGTGTTCGAGGATGTGCACACGTCCGCTGATACGCTTAGTTCTGACCCCTGACGGGTCGGGTCGTAAATGCTACCCGTCAATCGTCTTCGAGGCTATCACAGCCTAAGTCTAACTGTCAGACGGACACCCTGGGATTGGGTATCGTCTCGAGCAATGTTATGTCTATAAATACTCCTGTGCGTGCAGGAACATGTGGAATGGGACATGCGGCCCAGTCATCAATCTCCATGCTAGATATCCTAGAGACGGACGAGCCTGTGGCGTGACGTATGGGTTGGCGATGCAAGCGCTGCCATTTAGGGCACGGTTTGTGCGGAAGGCGAGTGGGTGACGGACTTCTATGCAGTCTTCGGCTTTCGGCTCTGTTTTCTGTGCTGGGATATATACCCTTGCTCTTGGTGAGATAGACACGTCTCTCCTACGCTCTTGACTACGACATCTACGGTCGTCTGTAGAAGCTTGAACACTTTCGCCTGATCGGCGACATCTGCACGAAAAGACAAGATGAGAGGCACCAGACCTAGGTTTGAAAAAAAGGGGCCTCAAGGCTTTGGGTGGCTGTACGCTCTATCGCTTCGGTCATGGCTGCTAATAGCTAGTATCGTCACACACCAGGCCGGCTGCTGGGGGTATAGCCCGCAAGATCTCTGATTCTCCCTCAGTGATTGATTGTCGGGATTTAAGAAGAACTACTTAGTCATTCTCTGCACTCAGCGTTAGTATTTCTGCCAACGAGAAGGAGAGGAGGAGGAGAACTATGTATGTCCACTGTACGTATGGGAAGAACAAAGGGCTATGCGAACTACTTCAAAGATAGATTGTCACCTCAGAAAATCCATAAAAGCTTTCAAGCAAATTCCCCAATCGGTGAGATTCCACTCTTATTAGCTGGGAGGGGTGGCTGGTTCATCATTTAGGCAGTATCATCCTCAACCTTACCATTAACACCCGTATCAGGAGTCGGATAGTCTTTCACCAGTTTCTGTCTGGAAATTGCCTAGCGCTGCGGGGTTCGTCCTTAAATGAAATGTTTTGCACTGGCCCTGCTTGTTTCAGTCGAGGTCGAGACTGAGAGAAGGGTGCGTTCAACATGGATCGTGCTCGGGTCAGGGTTGTTGAGGTCCGCCAATGAGCCCGACAAGAGCATTCATTATAGGTAATGTGCCTCACCTATTTGTCTAGGAAAAGTGCACCTTGTTGACTTCAACCGGTTCAAAGTCTGGGTTGCGCATGTCCAGCCAAGGTGGTGCTGTATAACCCCCATCACCCTGGCAGTTCCAACCCACACCCACCCACTCACCACGGTCGAACAGCAGCCTACCACGAACCTAACCTCTTAGCTTCAAGCACCACACCCTAGCACAGTCGACTAGCATGGCCGCAGCCATAGTCGACGACCTGAAGAGGAAATCCCGGTAGTCCGAGCTGAATCGTGGCCGGTATGCTCTGATGTACACCGTAGTCGCGAGCACTGACGCCTAGTCCAGCACCGACACCGACATCGACACCAGCCCCGACCACCGGGCTGGTCGAGCAGATATAAATACTCCAGAGTGCGACAGCTTATAGATCCAGCAACAAGCGCAACCACTCCGCAAAGCACATCATCATCTTCTTCAGTGACCCCCCCTGTTCAGCATGACCCGCCCCCAGAACGTCGGCATCAAAGCCATCGAGATCTACTTTCCCAACCGCGTAAGCTGTCTCCACTCATCTCTCCCAGGATTCATCCGGTGTGGTGTGGCGAGGACCTAACGAAACGATCCGGAGGAAGTACGTCCCCCAGCCCGACCTCGAGAAATACATGCACGTCAGCGCCGGCAAGCACACGATCGGCCTGGGCCAAACGAACATGAGCTTCTGCGATGACCGCGAGGGTATCCCATCCATGATCCATCCCCTCCATCCCCCAGTCCCCCCCCCTTGCAACCTCCCCGGTCCCCTCCCGCCTAGTAAACCGCTAACCCACGGATTTCACGGCTTGGATAGACATCAACAGCCTAGCCCTAACCGCGCTCTCCGCCCTGCTCCACAAAAACACCATCCCCCCAACCTCCATCGGGTACCTAGGCGTGGGCACGGAATCCCTCCTCGACCGCTCGAAATCCACCAAAACGGTGCTCATGCAGCTCTTCACGCCGGAAAACCCCGACGTCGAGGGCGTGGACTCCTACAACGCCTGCTACGGCGGCACCGCCGCGCTGCTGGCGGCCGTCGCGTGGATCGAGTCCTCCGCGTGGGACGGCCGCGACGCCGCGGTCGTGTGCGGCGACATCGCCGCGTATGCGCGGGAGGATGCGGCGGCCCGGCCCACGGGCGGCGCGGGGTGTGTGGCCATGCTTGTGGGGGCGGACGCGCCTGTGGTGGTGGAGGCGGGGGTGCCGCGGGCGTCGTACATGCGGCACGCGTGGGACTTCTTCAAGGCGGATTTTGGGCGGGAGGCGGCGGTTGTGGACGGGGCGGGGTCCGGGAGGTGCTATCTCGAGGCGGTGGATGGGTGTTATCGGAGTTGGGTGGAGAAGATGCTTGCGTTGGAGGAGGAGGAGGCGGAGGGGAAGGAGGATGAGACAGGGCGGGCGAGGGGGGCGGTGGGCGTTGGCATCGACGCCTTCGATTACTTCCTCTTCCACGCGCCCAACTGCAAGCTCGTGGCCAAGGCGTATGCGCGGCTGCTGTGGAATGATCTGCTGCGCACTGGGGGAGTTCCGGAGGAGCTGCGGCCGCGGGGGGCGGGTCTGGACGATGCGAGTACCCTGGGCGATAAGGGGCTCGAGAAGCAGTTGATGGCGCTGGCGCAGTCGCGCTTTGAGGAGAGGGTGCGGCCCGCTCTGCTAGTCCCGGCCCAGTGCGGGAATATGTACACCGCCAGTCTGTACTCCGGGCTCGTGGGCTTGCTGGCCTCCGTGCCGAGTGGGCGGCTCCAGGGGAAGAGGATCGGCATGTTCAGTTATGGGAGCGGGCTGGCGAGTACCCTCTTCACGCTGGTGGTGCGCGGCGACACGACTGTCATGGCGGAGAGGCTGGATCTGCACAGGCGGTTGGCGGCCCGGGTGCCCGCTGCGCCGGAGGTGTGGGATGAGATGTGTCGGTTGAGGGAGCGGGCGTTTCAGCGGAGGGAGTATGTGCCTCGTGGGAATGTGGGAGATTTGCTGCCGGGGACGTATTACTTGGAGTATGTGGATGAGATGTTGCGGAGGAGGTATGCGGTCAAGGCTTAGGTGGGTGTCTCGGAGGATGTGTGTTCATATGGATGAGAATGCTGTTCGAAATGAGGTTAAGGTGATTAAGTTAATGAATGGAGGTGGGTTGAGCTTTGCGGTAGTGTCGGATGGCGAGACGGGCTACTTAGGGCACGTTGCGTTGTATCTTGGGAGCGGTTGCGGGACAGGATGTAGGCTAGGCTGCAGGCTGTTTCACAAAGTCTAACCAACCCCAGACTGGCGGACAGGATTACCCATGAATGAAGACACCGGACATTGCGGTCATGGTTGGTAGCGAGTCCGGGGTGGTGTTCTGACAGGCCCGAGTCGCACGGCACCCATGGTTCGGATCGTACTCGAGCATCTTGACGTCAGCATGTGAAGCGTCAAAGCCAACCTCATCCATTCCCATAAAGGGTCCAGGGTGACTGACAGCGTGACTTTCCCACCCCCTCACAACCAACGACAACAACTATCAAAAATTATTACAGAGCATATCAGCCTCACAATCCCCAAGCACATCTTATTCAAGACAACCAACCGTCTACCTACAATGTGGCGCCTAACCACCAAAACCAAAGCCTCCCGCCCTCTCCTCCTCCCCAGGGGATTAGGCCATCAACCCCAAACCCAAACCCACCTCCCTCCCCTCTACAAACCACCTTCAAAGCGATCCCCCCACACCAACACCAACACCAACACCAACACCAACACCACCAGCACCAGCCCCAACCCGGCCCCGAACCCCTCCTCCTCCTACCTCACGAGCCACCACCGCAACCGCCACCCGGAATCCGACCTGGACCGCCACCTCCTGCGGCCGGAGTCCTACGAGACGTCGAAAAGCGGCACCGACGACGCGGCCGCGCACCACCCGTGGTCGTTCGACCCGACCATCACCGACCCGGCGCTGGAGGTGCTGGCCTCGGACGCCGAGTGCGCGCTGGACGACTACCGCGAGGACGACCCGCTGTACGTCAGCCCCGGCAACACGGAGGTCAGCCGGTTTCTGGACCCGATGGCCGGCGGCGCGGCGCACAACGCGGTCAAGCCGGGGTGCTCGGGGATGGGGTGGACGCGCAAGGCGCATGTGTTTCGGGTGCGGACGCAGCCTGGGGAGACGGGCTGGGGGAAGGGGTTCGAGCGGTACGAGCGGGTTTTGCGGGAGGTGAGGGGCCGGAAGAAGGTGGGTGGTGCTGAGGGGGGAGGTGCTGGTGCTGGGACAGAGGGGAAGCGGGGGAAGGGGTGATTGATTGTTTTTCTTTGGGGGGGGAGGAAGGTAGGTGATGAGGTTGAGTAAGGTGGGAGGTGGGAGGGGAATGGTAGACGGTGGAGATTTAGGGGGCTGGGTTATAGGGCTGGGTGGGAGATTGTGTACTTGACTTTACTATACTACAAGCTTTTTTGGGGTTGGGGTTGGGGTTGGGGTTATACTTGGTGTATAGTCTGGGAATATATCTCTTTATAGTTACAAGCTGGTTGTCTGCTGCAGTGGCGGTTATGTCAGGAACATTTTATGTGCATTGCTAATGCATGACTGTTTAGTTTAGTGAATTTTTGGATTGATGAGTACTATGTATTACTATGTAGAAGTTGGCAGGATCAGGTAGGGCTGGTACCCACTGACTCTCTTTTTGACTTACAAGTACTCATACAAATGTATACGGCAACCATCCCACCCCAAAGCTGCCGATCCCACTAAGAATAAATTAACGGCAGTCTAGACCGCCCACCACTCCTTCTAGCCAATCCGCATGTCGGGCTGGGCCAACGCCACGCGATCTTCCTCCATTACGTCACGCCACGATCCGGATTCCACCCCTTGGCATGCCCCATTGTCAAGTTGACGTTTAACGGACTCGAACACAATGCACAAGACAGGCATGATTCATGTTTCTGTTAATGATGGATTAGTTTAGGAAACACTAGGAGGGGTCTATTGAGTCCACAATTGAAGAGATACAAGGGTTTGATCCTACACATATGTCACTCCAAGTACATGTATTACTTGAGTATGTATTACACAGCTGTAGAAGTTGGTCAGTAGCAGACTGTACCCAATGCATACGTATCCACGCCACTGTCCGTCATCAAGCTGAATATTCAGACACCCTACCCGATACGTCACCATCGACCTGTAAAACCGGCGGGCGGGACCTCCAATTAAACTCGTGGGCACGGGCACTCTGGGTGGCTACGGTGGCTTGATCAATTCTCCGAGATGTGAAAAGTGGAGCCGCCCATGATCTCATCCGGCCCCAGCAAAACACCGGAATCCATGTCTTTGTTCGATGACAGTGACAGCCAGGTACTGAGTTGACTGACAGGGGAGGGAGACAGGGACTGCACCACTGCTGCAGAGTGGAGTCCCTCTTCGAAAAAGGATGGTATGTATGCGAAAAGTTATAGCAAAGTAGACTGCAGCAAAGTGAGAATCACTTCAGAGGATTCTCCTGAAGCCACCCATCCTTTTATACTACCGCTCATGCATGCACTCCTGCACGCTGATGTCGCTGCCGCCCCCGTACGTCGAAGGAGCAGCTGGGATCCCGTCCCGCTGCCCTAACACGATATACACATGGTACATCTCACAGTCAACGGCCACCATCCCTGCACAGCCTGACGCAATGATGATTGTGTGTCGACCTCCTCGCACCCATCGCAATGCTTCCTCCCCCTCCTAAACCCCGAGCCAGTTTCGTATCCTCGGCCGAGCAAGTGGATCCGCGATGATGAAAAAGTAAAAGAGTCCGGCATTTACACCCACTCCACTTTTGCTACAGGACAGTACCCTCTCCACTCCACTGCACTCCAGCCCTTCTTCCTTCACCCCGTACCCTGTAATGCAGTATGTTCCTGTCTCCGTGCCCTCTCCACCACCCACTCACCCTGCAGGACCGCGACGATGTCACAGACACTAGCACTAAGGCGATCCCTGCAGCCCACCCCCCCGATGTGACGCGTAGGGCTTACAGGTCGAACTGGCGTAGCCCACCCCCCTCCCCGGCAGCACAACGCTCGTAGCGCATGACGTAGGTGGATAGCGCTGCGAACTACACCCATCGACATCATCAGCGTCCTCCTCGTCACGATACACAAGATGCAACATAAAAGGGGGAGGGATGTCGGGACTCGCTGGGGTTGGATTCTCGATTCATAATTGTTCTCTTTCGCACTTGACTCAAAACCCACATCCACGACTTGTATATTAGTTTACGGTTCACGACTCCCTACCTCCCTACACCTAATTACGAAGCACAACACCACTGGACGAGGATTGGACACGATACGATACGATACGATACGACTGCCTTCGCTTGTTTGATTCAGGACTGGAGGTTCAGCACAATTACTACTATTACAACCACGACTTTATAGTATAACAGCTACGACTCGGGATCGACGCGCAGTTGCCTGTTCGAGACCACTGCCCTATACCACCTCACTCTACTGCTATCCAACGCGCCTTCCTGTTTCGCTCGACTGTCCCTGTACCATCCCACCCACAACTTCCATCACACAATCACACACAACCTACCATTCACTATCCATTGATCATCACTCTACTCCTCATCATGTCCTCCCCCTTCATCAGCAAAGTCTCCAAGCTGAACCTCAGCCCCGACTCGCGCAAGGGCACGCCCCCCAAGCTCCGCCGCGAGCAATCCGGCGCCACCGAGAAGACCGAGGACGACCCCAGCGTGCCCACCACCCCGACCCCGAAGGGCAAGGCCTCCGCCGCGCGCCACCAGTCCGAGCAGCGCGACTCGCCCGTCCCGGCGCCCAGGGATGCTCCTTCCCAGGCCTCGGCCTCGGCGTCGGGCTCCCGCGCCCAGAGTCGCGCGGGCCGCACCGAGAGTGAGGCCGGGCAGCCCCAGGAAGAACAGCCCCAGGAGGAGGGCCTGGAGGAGCAGCAGCAGCAGGAAGAAGAAGAGAATGGGCAGCAGGAGCAGCCGACGCCGAGTCTGAACGGCGGGCCGACCGAGTCACACCCCGAGCATCTCGACCTGTCCGTCCTCAAGGGCCTGGAGGTCGGCGAGGACGGGCTCATCCACGACCAGGACGGGACTGCGATCGGTCGGCTGGTCGAGGGCAAGCCCGAGGATCTGGTCGGGTATACCGTCGGCGACAACGGCGAGATCCTCGACGAGGATGGCGATCTGATCGGGGTGGTCGATGTGCTGGCGGAGGCGTTCCAGAATCAGCAGGATGGCGTGGACGCCAGCCAGGTTGATGGGCAGGATGAGGACCAGGAAGAAGCAGAAGAGGAGGGCCAGCATGAGCAGACCAATGGAATTGTCGATCAGGCGGCCGACACCGTCGGTCAGGCGGCGGATACCGCTACCGCTGCGGTCGGCAATGTCGCGGATCTGGCGGGTAAGGCTGTCTCGGAGTCCGGCGATATCAAGGATGATGCCGGCCAGACGGTCGGGAAGCTCGTCGAGGGCGAGCCCGAGGAGCTGGCGGGCAAGGTGCCCAACGACCAGGGCGAGATCCTCGGCGACGACGGTGACGTTGTTGGTCGCGTGGATGTCGCTCCTCAGGAGGCCGCGGGAAGTGCCGCCGGCTCGAGCAAGGCCGCTTCCCGTGAGTCGGGCGAGGAGGCCGAGCAGAGGGCCAGCGTCGCTGGTACGGCTGCCTCCAAGGCGACGGGCTCTGCTGCCGACAAGTCCAAGGCCGCTTCCGGAGCTCAGCCTGAGGATGACCAGAGCACCGTTGGCCCCAAGTCGACTGCTGATAATGTTTCGGCTGAGGAGCTCACCCCTGAGGATGCCGTTGGCGAGAAGCCTGAGGCTTCCGACGCTGACGAGGCTAAGGGGACCGTCGCTGAGAAATCCGAAGCGCCTGGTACGGAGGCTGACGAAGCCAAGGAGACTGTCGCCGAGAAGTCCGAAGCGCCTGGCTCGCAGGCTCCAGGCACCGAAGCTGCTGGCACTGAAGCCGACGAGGCCAAGGAAACCGTCGGTGACAAGTCCGAGGCCCCCGGCTCTGAAGTTGCTGGCACCGAGGCTGAGGGTGAGGCCAAGGAGGCCCCCGAGGAGGCCGCTGAGGCGGCAACCGAAGGTGTCCCTGAGAGCGCCCCTGGAGATGCCGCCGAGGAGAAGTATGAGACCGCTCAGGAAGAGGTCCCTGAAGAGGCCCCCGAGGAGGCAACTGAGGAGGCAGCCGAAGAGGGCACCGAAGCTGAGAAGGAGCTCCCCCCTCTCTCCTCCCTGGAGGGCCTGCGCTGCAACAAGCTGGGCAAGATCATCAACCCGGCCACCGGCAAGCCCGTTGGTGAGTTGATTGAGGGTGATGCGAAGAAGCTTGCTTCTCTCGGCGCTCAGCTTGACGACAAGGGCCAGTTCTGGGACAACCGCGGCAACGTCATCGGCCGAGCCCAGACCCTCGCTCCGGAGGAGTACCCCGATGAGCCTCCTTTCGGCGGCTTGGAGGGCCTGCACGTCGTCGAGGACGGCTGGGTCGAGGACCAGAACGGCAAGCGTGTCGGCAAGATCGTCGACGGCGACGCCAAGAAGGTCCTGGGCCGGCCTGTTGACGAGGACGGTGATGTGACCGACAAGCACGGCAACGTTATCGCCAAGGCGGAGTACTACGAGACTCCCGACGAGGAGCCCGAGCCCGAGCCTGAGACCATCGACCTCTCCAGCCTGGAGGGTCTCACCCCCAACAAGCTCGGCTATGTGATCGGCCCCAAGGGCGTCCCCATCGGTCGGGTCGTCGAAGGTAACCCCAAGGAGCTGGCCGGTAAGGAGATCCACGATGGCCAGATCTATGACGGCCCTAAGCCCATTGGACGGGTCGAGCTGATCCCCGAAAATGAGCGCGAGAAGAAGCCCGAGGGACCGTTTGCTGGTCTGGAGGGCCTTGTGGTCAACAAGGAAGGATTCGTTGAGGACGAAGAGGGCAACATTGTCGGTAAGGTGACCGAAGGTGATGTGAAGAACCTGCGCGGCCGGGCTGTCGACGAGGATGGAGACATTATCGACAAGTTCGGCAGCGTCAAGGGTCACGCGGAGCCTTACGAGGTGCCCGAGGAAGAAAAGCCCGAGGAGGTGGACCTTTCCATTCTGGAGGGTAAGGTCGTCAACAAGGCTGGTAACGTCGTTGACGGGCAGGGCCGGGTCTTCGGTCGTGTCGTCTCTGGCGGCAAGGGACTGGCTGGACGCAAGGTCGACAAGAAGGGTCAGATCTGGGGTGACGATGGCAAGGTCATTGGCCAGGCTGAACTCGTCCCTGGAGCCGATGAGCAGAAGCCCGAGGGCCCCTTCTTCGGGTTTGACAATGCGGTCGTCGGAAAGGACGGCGTGGTCACCGATGGCACTGACCGTATCATTGGTCGTGTGATCGAGGGTGACGCTAAGCGCCTGCAGGGCCGTAAGGTCGATGAGGATGGCGACATTCTCGACAAGAACGGCAACCCCATTGGCAAGGCTGAGCGCTGGGAGCCCGAGGAAAAGAAGCGTAACATCAACCCCATGGCCGGCCGCAAGGTCAACAAGGAGGGAGAGGTGCGCGATGCTGATGGCAACCTCATCGGCAAGCTGACCTCAGGTGACCTTCCTTCGTTGATCGGGAAGGAGATCGATGACAACGGCTACGTTGTGGACAACGATGGCAACAAGATTGGCGAATGTACCTTGATTGAGAACATCCCCGAGCCCGAGCCTGAGCCCGAGGAGCCGGAGGAGGAGGTGCAGGAAGAGGAGCCCGGTCCCTCCCCCGAGGAATTGGAGGCGAAAAAGAAAGAGGAGGAGGACCGTCAGCTGGCCAAGAAGATGAGCGCGATTGTTGGATCCACCTTGGACCGCCTTCGTCCTATCTGCAAGATGATCTCCGAGGTAAGACTCTAGCGCCAGGCGATGGTATAGGACTGATTGCTAACATCTCCCAGCACGTTGACAAGGCCGACCGCACTCCGAAGGAGGAGCTGGACGAGGAGCAGCTGGTCAAGGACGTGAAGCCTCTTCTGGAGGAGGGTGGCCAGATCCTCCAGGAATGCAACGGCGCGATCCGGGCCCTCGACCCCGACGGACGCATCGCCGCCACTGCGAAGGCCCGCGCCGCCTCGCACGAGGCCTCTCCAGAAGAATACGCGCTGGCTGACCAGCTCAAGGAACTCACCGACACGGTGCTGCGCACCATCGACAACGGCAAGAAGCGCATCGCCGGCATGCCTCACGCCAAGAAGGAGCTCAACCCTCTCTGGGGTCTGCTCAGCGAGCCTCTCTTCCAGATCATCGCGGCGGTCGGCCTGCTGCTAAGCGGTGTCCTTGGTCTGGTCGGTCGTCTGCTGGAAGGTCTGGGACTGGGACCCCTGGTGAAGGGCCTGCTCGGTGGCTTGGGTCTGGACAAGTTGCTCAGCAGCCTGGGATTGACCTCGCTCACCGACGCCCTGGGCTTGACTGGCCGCAAGAAGAAATAAAGGTTGAGCGCGAGCCGTGGTTGAGATTGTGATTCTTATATCTTTGTGATGTAGTTGTGACGACGAGCTTGATACCTGTACTGTTAGCTGTCTGATGTCTCCAATTTGACTGTCTTTGATCTTATCTGAATCGTGTCGTGTCGTGTCATTGGTAGCGTAGTTTGCCTGCCTTGATTAAAGATCGACATACAAGTCATAAGTTACTATGTACCAGTAAGCAGACCCCCCGCAGGGTGTTATCTCGCACGGTCATCCAGGAAGGCGAGAGGGATAGTACTGTAGATCTCCCCTAGAATTCGCCTTCATCTTATCGCATCCCAGCTATTCGTGCAGGGGGAATATGCTGGCTGATGTGGATGGTCAGTGGGGTTGCCAGGAAAACTGACCGCATTCACACCATGTGTTCATAAATCTCCCCCTAAAACCCACCACCAAGTTTGAGATGATATATCATTGATGTACTGTACGGTACTATACTACTGTGCTGTACTATATTCGTATACTTCACATTATACTCCAAAGAAACAACCAAAAAAAAAAAGAGGGTATAAAACCTTATCCTCAACCATCCCACCCCCAAACCACCCGATCACCTACACCCACAAGCCTCGACACCCATTCACCCATTCACCCCAACCCCCACACCCCACACCCCACCCCCACCCCTACCCTTTCCCTATCCAATCCCTGGGGGAAGAATCAAAGCTTCGCCGTCGGCGCGATCGCCTTCCGCCGGACCTGCTGGACGGAGAAATCCACCTCGTCGGCCGGGGTGGGGCCGGCGGTGGCGTCCTCGAACAGCCGCCGGCCCACGAGGTCGGACATGCGCATGACGCGCGAGGAGACCGTTGCGCCGTCGCGGCGGTTTTTCCTGGCCACAGACATAGGAATTAGTATCGAATGATATCTTGGGTAGAAAAGATGGGGGTCCATAAGCCCGGAAGACTTTCCGGAAGACTTTCCGGGCTGGTAAACTCACCCCTCACGTCGCGACTGCGCGATCAGCTCGGTAAAATCCCACAGGCGGCCGCGCGGGAGGACCTGGCCGGTGGCGGGATCGCGTTCGGGGGTCCATTCCGGGGCGAGGCGCACGGAGGAGGCCTTGGATCCCTTGCTCTTGGCGATGTGGATGATGCCCTCTTCGGCGAAGCGTTGGTAGGAGTTCTTCAGGGTTTCTTTGTTGACGGCTTCGAAGTAGGAGAGGTCGCCTTGGTGGTAGAGGGTTTTGCCGAGCTGTACGGGAAGTGAGTTCTGTATTCCTGGAGGGAAAACGGGATGGAAAAAGAAAAAAGGGAAAGGGGGCTTACCAGCTGGGCGTTGTCTTGGGCTTTGCTCAAATCGATCCATACGTCTTTCGGGAAGTCGAAGGGCGGCGTGAGTCCCAGTAGCGAGACCGAGCCTAACCACGACGCTTCGATGAAGGGCCAGATCAAGAAGCAGTAGAAGTCGTAGTTCTCGCGGCCGCATTGGCGCTCGGCTTCGCTGAGCTCGACGGTCAGGGGCTTGCCCGACGAGGGGTCGCGGCTGACGATGATCACGTTGTCCTTCTCGAGGCCCCGGAGGGTCTTGTCCAGGTTGGTGGTCAACCCTTCTGGCGGGAAGATGAATTCGCCGCGGAATAGCTGGGTTGGTTAGTGGATGGGCGATGCAAAGCGGGGAGAACGTACCTGCGACAGGAAAGAGACCTGGTTCATGAGCTCGGGGAACGACATGCGCTGGTAGGACGGCCCGCCGCCTTGTTTGATGCGCGTATACATGGCCGCCGAGACCAGGGCTTCGGTGATGAAGAGGTGGATCGTCATGTTGCGGTAGAAGGAGAGCTGGAAGCGGTCCACCGCGTAGTAGGTCGGCTCGACCAGTCCGGTCACCTTGCCCACAATCTGCGGCCCCAACACCTCCAGTGCGCGGTCGACGACCACTTCGGTGGGGAATCTGTAAAAGTGCGCCACGCGGCCGCCTTTGGCTTTGACCCGTTCACAGAGCCATTCGACGCGTCGCACGAGCTCGCCCTTGCCCACCCCGCGGCCACGCAGCGTGAGAAGCACCGTTCCGACCAGAGCGGTGGGCATCATGACTGACACATTGTTGATATCTGACAGCACCCGGTACCCTAACGACCTTAAGATGCGGCCTCGCTCCACATTGCTCAGCTTCTGACTGCCAACCTCGGTGATTTGGTCTGGGAGCCGTGTCAACTGCTGGGTGATGAACTCTTTCAGGCTCCATGGTTCATGGAAGCGGACGTCGACCCGACCCAGCTTCAAGGACAAGACGGACGAGGAGGAAAGAAAATCCGCCAGGTTCTCCTTTCGTTTCGGCTGACCCAACAGCTCGCTGATGTAGGACCTGGAGTCGCGATTAGCCAACAGCCACGGACCAGGACTTGGCGCCATACTCAGTCTCGATGACCTTGTCGTATTGTGTGCTAACAGGGCAGATAATCGTATCTTCCACCCGGCCCGACAAGACACTATCCAGGATAAAGCTCAGGATCCCAAATTTGGGCGACAGCAGCTTCCCCGTCCGCGACCGACCACCTTCAATAAAACACTCGAAGTTGAACCCCTGCTGCAGGAGCGTGTCGATATACGCCTGCACGACAGTATTATAGAGCGGATCATTCCCAAAGCTCCGACGAATCCACATCGCCCCTGCGCCCACCATCCGTCAGCCGTCCGTACAGATAAGCAAAGCCGAGCAGCCGTAATCTTACCTGCATGCTGCAAGAATGGGCCCACCAGCGGGAAATTGAGATTATCACCGGCGACCACCACCGGAAGCCCGATCCCTAGACGGTAACAGATCAACTGCAGCGACACATAGTCGACGTGGGATTTGTGGCACGGCAGGAAGACAATGGATCGTTTCTTCCGCGCCGCCTCCTCGGCCACCGACCTTAACCGAAGGACCTCCTCGCTAGACACATGGATCCCTACCCGACATCAGCACCCATATCAGCCACCGTTGTGCCCAATACATACCCTGATGATACGCCCTCGTCAGCAGCTGCGTAGCGACATAGTAGGCGCCACGAATGAACCGCCTGCTCTCCATCTTGCAGATCATATTCTCCAGCATGGAGTCGACCACCTCCTTGAGGTGGGTCTCGATCTCATTCCGCCGGTGCACCTTCTTCGCGTCCCGCGACGGACCAGGGACCACGTCCAGCAGCCCTTCCTGCACTTCCACCGCCAGACGCAGCTCGGCCAGCTCCTTCACTTTCCCCTGCAGCAGCGGGCTGGCGAGGATGCGGGACTTCATGCGCTCGGAGAAGCCTGGGTAGAAGATGGGCTGGCCGATGACCTGGTCGTAGGCGCGCCAGCCGGTGCCGGACATGTAGAGGCTGACCTCGCGGAGGAAGTCGAAGGGGTTCTCGCGGAAGCGCGCCATGTGGCGGACGAGGTTGCGCTCGGTGATCTGGTCATCTTGGGGCTCGGGCCCGCCGGTGACGCCGCTGGGGTGGATGGTGAGCTTGTTGCCGACGATCTCGAGGTCGGGGGCGGATTCGCCGACTGGGGGGTTGGTGTCGGAGGGCATTGTAGTTGAGATTGGGGGGGTTGTGGTGGTGCTATACGCGGGAACGCCGAGGGAATTGTTTGTTGGTCGGACAGGGATGGGAGATGGAGATCAAGCTCAACACGGTTCGTTAAAGCATCAGGCAATGAAGATGAAGATGAAGGTGAAGTTGAAGAAGAAGATGATCAGGTGAGAGGAAGTGGGTAGAGAGCTGGAGCCATGATCAGATAGCTCCAGGATGCTGGGAGAGGAAAGAGAAGACAAGAGGGGAGGGAATTGGAGTAAGAAACGAGAAAAGGGACGATCTCCGCGCTATTTCCCCAGAGTACGGAGTGGCTTGACCGTTTGTTAACTTACCGTGGACAGTACGTTAACTTACCTCGGATGTGCTCACGTGAAAGTGACGGTACTGTACCAGGAGACACTAGAGACACTAAACCCAATGGAGAAGCAGCGGCAAAGGATGAGGTCAACGCAGCAGCCATCAGCACGATCCATCATCCCATCCCCTTCTACCTTTTCCTCCCCTCTCGCCTCTTGCGTCTGCCTGGTTCGGGATGGACCGCAGACCATCCATGCGATCATTTCCAGATGATCTGACCCCGGCCATTTCCTCCAGAAACTTCACTGACCATTTCCCCTGTCGACCGCCGTCCCCTTGAAGCATCACCCCAAGACGGTAGTTAGCAGACAGAACAGAACAGAACAGCTCCACAGCGGGGACCCGCAAAGGCAAAGAAGCATTCATCGCATCCGCCAGACCGAACAGCCACCCAAAAATCCATCCAACACCTCGATCCTTGTCACCGCACCCCCAGACACAATGTTCACCTTACGACGGCAATTCTCCAGTACGCACCCATCTCCTCTGCACATCCACCTCTCCCCATGCACCACAACCCATACTAACACTCCTCCAAAAAGCCGCCGCATCCCGCCTCAAACCCTCCACGTCCAGCACAATGACCACCCCCGCACCTCCCAACAAACAGCACACCTTCCAAGTCTTCCGGGACGTGCCCCCGCTTCGCGCCCTCCGCCGAGAAATGCTCCTCTCCAACCGGACCGTGGGCCTCGTGCCGACGATGGGCGCCCTCCACGAGGGCCACCTGTCGCTGATCCGCCAAGCGGCGGCCGAAAACACGGACGTGATCGTCAGCATCTTCGTGAACCCGACGCAGTTCGGCGTGAACGAGGACCTGTCCAGCTACCCGCGCACCTGGGAAAGCGACGTCGCCAAGCTGGAGGCGCTGAACGCGGAGCTTGCTGGCTCCACCAACAATACAAACAACGCCTCCCCGCAGCCCCAGGGCCGCATCACCGCGATCCTCGCCCCGACCGCGCAGGTCATGTACCCGTCGCTGCCGCCGACCTCGGAGATCGACGGCGACGGCTCCTTCGTGACGATCACGCCCATCGCCCGGAAGCTCGAGGGGGCGGCGCGGCCCGTCTTCTTCCGCGGGGTGGCGACCGTGTGCATGAAGCTGTTCAACATCGTGGGCGCGGAGCGCGCGTATTTCGGCCAGAAGGATGTGCAGCAGACGGTCGTGGTCCGGCGCATGGTCAAGGATTTCCACGTGGATACGGAGATCAAGATCGGGGCGACGGTGCGCGAGGCCGATGGGTTGGCGATGAGTTCGCGGAATGTGTATCTCGGGAGCAGAAGGCGGAGCGTGGGGTTGGTGCTGTATCGCGCGTTGAAGGCGGCGGAGGAGCGGTATGCAGGCGGGCAGAAAGTGCAGCGGCGGGAGATTCTGGAGGCGGCGGAGGAGGTCACGGCGCAAGTCCTCAAGGAGCAGGAGGCGCTGGGCCCGCACCAGCGCGCGCGGTTCGAGGTCGATTACATCTCGCTGGCGGATCCAGAGACCTTGGAGGAGCTGGAGGTTGTCGACCCCGAGAAGGGGGCGATTCTGAGTGGCGCGATCAAGATGGCGCCGCTGGAGGAGACGGCCCCCGGCGAGGACTGCGGGCTGGGCGAGGGCAAGGTGCCCGTGCGGCTGATTGATAACTTGATCTTTGCGCCGCGGGCGTAGCTGCTTGCTTGCTTGGTTGGTTGCTTCGGGTCAGGTTCTACGCGCTATACCGAACAGTAGTGTCCATATACCCCAAACCACCCAGAAAAGATGTTTTATACAATGTAAACTAGACTAAATACAGACCATATACCTATAATCCAAACCCCATAATTAAATTGCCAATCACTAACCCTCCACTCCCTCCCCCAGATCCTCCGGGTTAAGCGCATACCAAGAAAGGAAAATAGGGCACATGGAGAGGGCTCGGAAGGAGACTCGGCCCGAGAAAATTTCCCATCCGCAAAGCTGTTCCTCCTGCAGTGGGCAGTTCAGTTCCCCTCCGCAACCGCAGTCCGACCGCCTCAGAGAAAATCAACGGTCTGGAACAAACCAGCAATTAAAAAAACTCAACCTCGAATCCCCCCTCACCCAACAACCCCGTCCCTCGTCAACACCTACAATACTACCAAAACCCATCTCACGAACCCCTCCCCCCAAAAAAGATGGCCGACGACGGCCTCCTCCTAAATTTCACCCTAGGAGGCGACACCGTGCTCAACGCCACCACCACCAAAGTCAAAGGCGGCACATGGCGGGACCGGCTCAGCGCAAAGAAGATCGCGGCGCACCGGAAGACGCCGCGCGACCCGAACGCGCCCAAGCCCGAACACACGAGCAAGAACCCCAACCGGATCGCCGTCTCATCGCGGCCGGTGAAGCGCCAACGGACGGACGACAGCACCACCAACAACAACTCCGGCCCAAACAACCATACCCGCGGCAATCAAAACCAGTCGGCGCGGCCGTTCGTCTCCTCGCTTTTCACCAAGAATCCTGTCCCCCAGAATGCGGAGGCCGAGCCTAAGGATGGAGAGGAGGGGGTGGAGGTGGAGGAGGCGAAGCCGACGAACGCGCCGCTGATCGATGGGCTGGATACGTTTACGAATCTGGGGTTGTCGGAAGCGCTGGCGGCGCATCTGCTGACGAAGTTGGGGGTAAAGGCGCCGACGGCGATTCAGAAGGCGTCGATCTCGCAGCTGCTCAAGGAGGAGAGCGATGCGTTTATCCAGGCGGAGACGGGGTCGGGGAAGACGATGGCGTATCTGCTGCCGTTGGTGCAGCGGCTGATGAGCATCTCCAAGGCGTCGGCGGGCGGGAAGGATGGGGTGGCGATTGGGGGGGCGCCCGCCTCCTCCGGCGGCGCGGAGTCGTCGGTCGTGCATCGAGATAGTGGGTTGTTTGCCATTGTGCTGGCGCCGACGCGCGAGCTGTGCAAGCAGATTGCGGTCGTGTTGGAGGGCTTGCTGCGGTGCGCGCACTGGATCGTGGCCGGCACGGTGATCGGTGGCGAGAAGAAGAAGTCCGAGAAGGCGCGGCTCCGGAAAGGGTTGAATATCCTGGTCGCGACGCCGGGTCGGTTGGCGGATCATCTGGAGAACACGCAGGCGCTGGATGTGAGTAATGTGCGGTGGTTGGTGCTGGACGAAGGTGATCGGTTGATGGAGCTGGGGTTCGAGAAGGAGCTGCAGGGTATCATTCAGAAGCTGGACGCTCGGCAGCGCCCCTGTCGCATCCCCGGGGTGCCGGCCAAGCGCACGACGATCCTGTGCTCGGCGACGTTGAAGATGAACGTGCAGAAGCTGGGCGAGATCAGTCTGAAGGACGCGATCCACGTGCAGGCGGACCCCGCCGACGAGGACCCCGAGGCCGTCAAGAACAAGGACGAGGACGAGGCGTTCCGCGTCCCCGCGCAGCTGAAGCAGTCCTACGCGATCGTCGCCGCCAAGCTGCGGCTGGTCTCGCTGACGGCGTTCCTGAAGCGGACGTTCATGCGCAAGGGCTCCGTGATGAAGGCGATTGTCTTCGTCTCGTGTGCGGACTCGGTGGATTTCCACTACGAGCTCTTCACGCGCAAGCTCAAGGCCGAGGAAGACGACAACAAGAAGGACAGCGACGGAAGCTCCGACAGCGACGACAGCTCCTCGTCGAGCGAGGATGAAGATTCCGACAACGACAAGAAGCCAGCCACCAAACCCAACGAGCACGGCACCGTCGCCCTGGCCACCGCGTTCTCCAACCCCTCCAACCCCGTGATGCTGCACCGACTGCACGGCTCGCTGCCGCAGCACGTGCGCACGGCGACGCTGGGCGCGTTCGCGCGCAGCCGCGAGGCCTCGGTGCTGATCTGCACGGACGTGGCGTCGCGTGGTCTGGATCTGCCCAACGTGGACCTGGTGGTCGAGTACGACCCGGCGTTCAGCGCGGAGGACCACCTGCACCGGATCGGGCGCACGGCGCGTCTGGGCCGCGACGGACGGGCGCTGCTCTTCCTGATGCCCGGCTGCGAGGAGAACTACGTCGACATCCTGAAGCGCGGGTACCGCGACGGCGGCAAGGCGCTGACGCGGCTGAACGCGGACGACATCCTGAAGCGCGGGTTCGGCGGCAACGTGCAGGCGCAGAGCAAGGACTGGGAGGTCAAGACCACGGACTGGCAGATGGACGTCGAGCGCTGGGCGGTCGACCACCCGCAGTACCTGGAGATGGCGCGCCGCGCGTACCAGTCGCACATCCGCGCCTACGCGACCCACATCGCCAGCGAGCGCCACATGTTCAACATCAAGGAGCTGCACCTGGGCCACCTGGCCAAGAGCTTCGCGCTGCGCGACCGGCCCAGCAAGATCAACGTGCCGGGCCTGCGGCAGAGCAGCAGCGACGCCAAGAAGGACTTCAAGGCGGCGCGCAGCGGCAGCAGCAGCAGCACGGCGGGCGGGAAGAAGCGCAAGGCCGGCGAGGATGACGGGGACCGGGGCGCCGCGGATGTGTCTCTGGCGGCGCAGAAGATGAGAGCCAAGATGAAGGAGCACATGGCGGGGGCCAACGAGTTCAATCTTGCTTAACTAACCTTCACCTTTTTTCACATTTCTTCCAACAAGACCAAAAGCAAGAGCATGTAAATAATCCAGAGATTGACGGATACAGACCATTTCAATAGATATCCCACAACGAGATCTTCCCATCCTTGGACCCAGCCGCCAGCCAGTGGGTATTCTGGACTTTGTGATTGCGTAGTCGCCGATGGACGGCCGCCAGGCCGCCTCCTCTGCCGTTAAGGCCTGTAAGCGTACGCTCACTGGAGCCAACACCTCCACCGTCATCATCACCTTCACCCTCCTCCCCATCCCAATCCCCCGTCCCCACCCCCGCAAAAGCAACAGCATAACACCCCTCCCTATGCCACTTCAAAACCGCCACCTCCTTCAGCGTCTTACACGAATAAACCCGGACCCTGGAATCCCACCCGGCCGTCGCCAAGATGCGCCCATCGGACCGCACCCTCAGCCCCTGCTGCCCGGCATGCCGCGTCTTCACCACCTTGGCCGGCTGCTCCCTCGCCAAGCCCCCAGCGCCAGCTTTCCGAAGAAAAGGATGCATAACGACCTTCGCATCGGCCGCGGACGAGAACACCCACTCGCCAGACGGAGCAGCATCGATCGATAGCACCGGCTGGTCGTGCGCGCGGCTCGCGTACAGCTTCTCCCATTTCCAGCTGCCCGCTGCAAGACCCTGCTGCTGCTGCTGCTGCGGACCCAGACCCTGGAAGGGGACGGGAGACCGGAAGACCATCACGCTGCCGTCCTCGTACGCGGCCGCGACGTGGAGGTCCCGCCCCTCGGGGCTAAGAAAGAGGGTAAGCGCCATGACCATGCCGGTTTTGACCTCGCCGTCGGCGGGGATGGTGCAGACGCGCCGCTCGGTGGGGAGGTGGAACAGGTCGATGGCGCCGGAGTTGAGGGCGTTGGGGACGGCGATGAGTACGGGGGAGGGGGACTTGTCCCGGGACGGAGGCTCAGGCTCGGCCTCCGCTCCTCCATCCCCATCCCCATCCCCATCCGAAGGCACAGCCACCGGCCCAGACAGCAGCGCGGGGAGATCCACCCACGCAAAGGCACAAAAGTTCAACGCGTTCACAGGCAGCGAGTGCACCAACCACGGCTGCCTGCCCGCGCCCGCACCCGCACCTGCGCCTTGCCCTGCCTCTCCTCCCGTCTCCGCCGGAGGGCCCGTGGAAGCAGCAACCCCAAGAGAATCGACCGGCAACCCCCTCCGCAAATCTACCTCCTCAGCAACACTGAACCGCCACACCCTCAACTTGTGATCGCGGCCATGTCTGTCTTTCATCAGCAAACCAAACCTCTCAAAAAGCCCCTCAATTCCTAAACCTCTCAAACAAGCAAGCCAAAACAGAACCAACACAACATAAATAAGCAAGGGAAGGGGAAGGGGAGGGGCAAACCCACGTAAAAACCTCCGTAACCCCACTACTCCCATCCCCCCGAAACCGGGCATAAACACCCAGAACGGCGCCGTCGTGCGCCTTCCACACGGCAATGGGCCGCTTCGAGACCAGATCCCAGACGGCGATCCAGCCGTCGGCGTCACCGGACACTAAGCGCAGGTTATGGTGGTAGATGTGCAGGCTGTGGATCTGGGCGGCGTGGCCGCGGAGGATGTAGGTTGGGGTTGCGGGGGGTTTGGTTTGGGGGGTGGTCATTGCATTGGTTCTATTATGTTAAAGAACTGGGAAAGGGGGGTATGAGGGTGTTTGAGTGAGTGATTGGGTTCGGTTTGTGAGAAGGTGGAGGTTGATTGGAATTATAGATGGCGGATGTATGGAAGTTGGTGTTAGATTCATGCAGAAGGTGGACGCGGATCTGTGGTTGACGGGCGGTCTTGGCGTTCCGGGTTGATGGACTGCATGGGATTCAAGCTTCTATATCCAACCGTTCTGAAAAGAATGGCACAAGGCCAAGCTGATTGAGTAGTTCTTATATTCACAGCGTCTTGTGTTTTATACACGGAAAGAGGTTGCAAGATGAACATGTCTAAGTTTAACCAATGCCGGGAATATAGAATATGCTAAATTACTGTACACTCTAAAGCACCAAATGTCCACCCTCGCTGGATAGCGCCCAAGAACCCCAACCAACGCCTGATCACTCGTAAACTACAATCAAAAGCCCAAGGCTACAACCCACGACTACCCCCCACACCTACAACCCAAACGTAAACCCCCCCAACGCTCGATGCGGCGCAACATAATGATCCTGGTACGGATGGTTCTCCATCGAGAAATCCGCCGACGCCATCAGCGGGTTGACCAACCCCACGATCTTCGACTCTGGCGGGATGTGGCTCGGTCGCAGGGGCGCATCAGGATGGTCACTGCCATCCCCACTCCCAAACATGGCCACGATCTCCTCCGACGTCGCCATGGGCGGGCCGTGGTGGCTGCTCCACCCCCACGCCGCCTGCAGCTCGTTCTTGACGTTCTCCGTCCGCCACCCCGTCTCCTTGATGATGTTATCCAAAATCTCGAAGACCTCGTGCTGGGCCTCGCGCGTCACGAGACATCCGGCGGCGATGGCCAAGAACCGGATGGATAGACTCGCTACGCCCCTGCGAAAAAAGGTTAGCATATGGAGTGGAATAGGCGATGCACCAACAAAACTCACCGATCCTTCGAGTGCGCGACAATCCCGCAGATGTCTCGCGCGTGGCCCTGTTGGACGGTCTGCATTTCCGCGCTGAACTCGGACTCGAGGGGGTTCGTTTTCGTCAGCAGGATGCGAGTGGTATGGTATAGCAGTTGAGCCACGATTGTAGAGCGTTTGATGAGCCTTCCCGAGTTAGTCTATGACACAAAACACAGCAATCAACACAGCAAGCTCACCATATCTCCGGGAAGACGGATTTGGAGTTCGTCTGCCAGGAATGAAGATAGCCGACCGGCATCATGGACCGTGGCACGGCCCGAACCCATTGATCGCACCATTCGTTATACGTACACCACTCCTGGTATCGCTGGCTCACCCGTGCGTCACTGATGGGATCGTCCACGCCCTGGTCCTGGCCCATCGACGACCGGAAGTTCGCGACCTTGGCACAGATGAAGACCATCTTGTGGGTCCAGGCTTCTTCGTTGCCTGCTACACTCGGCTGGGCCTGGTCAAACTCCAAATCAACACCCCAGGAGTCTGGGTTCCAAGAGAGCGCCCAGTTGAAGTGCAGACAGCTGATCAGCTCCATGCTAACGTTCAACCAGAAACACGCTCCCCCGAGTCCAGGGGTCTTCGCATCCCAGTTGCATTCCTTGATCAAGGCTCGAGCTCCGGCGATATGGCTCATGCCCTGGATCGGTCGACCCGACATCAGCTCGTAGATGTTCAGAAGAATGGCGGTTGTGGCACACAAAGCAGAGTCGCGATCCGGATCCTGCAAGGACCGCAGAAGATACTGAGAGGCTTCGTCGTGAAAGAGTGCGGGCTTCTGCTCGCCGTAAGATGGGTTCACATGGTACAGATGTCGCGCACCACAAGCCAAAATAGCCTTAAAGAGCATTGGCTCCTCTAACGCATGGAATGGCAATACCTGGGTAAACTGGCGGGGTCAGCTACGTGCCGGAGCCATACATCACAATACCCAAACTCACATGCTTTACCGCATCCATGGCGTCCATCCATAGCCCAACCTCTTCTACAAATACTTGCAGGAGAAACACCTCTTCTGGGTTGTTGAGACATGTATGGTTGGTCGAGTTGATATGGCCATGTCGTGTCGACCGAAAGGGGGCATACGAGGTACTTGGGTCTGGGAATAATGAGGCTGAATGAGAAAGGCTGCTGAGTGATGCGCCAATATTGTCGGACTGAGCATTCCCGAACCCTTGCATATAGCTATCCTTGACCGTGGCGGACGCGTTCGAGTTCAGCGATCCCGCCATGCCGTGAGGCTCGGCTTCCTCAGCAACAAGCGGAGGGTACCTCTCGAATCCGCCCACGTATTCAGACGCGATGATCCGAGACTCATCGCGAAAAGTGATCCCTTTCCCCTGGAGACGGACCACACAGTGCGGCGGTGTCGCGGTCTGGGTGTCGATAAAATTCAAGCGGATGCCACGCCGGCAGATTCTGCCCGACTTGCGGCAGTTCTGACATTGATGCAAGGCCTCGTCGCACTTGAGGTGCCGTTCTCGACAGGTCAGACAGCCAGTCCGGACGCGCCGCGGCTTCGTCGCGAACTTGCCCTTCCGTCGGCCGCGGCTAGCCGACGTGCGTGGTGTGTTCACCGAAGCGCTGTTCGGGGTCGAGACCCCGCCTTCGTCGGAGGGGGTCGGAGTCGTCCCTTGCGTGGTGACCTCGGCCGCTAAGAAGGGGCTCTGGTCGTCCAACTCCAGGTCGGGAATATCCGCAACCGCCCCAGGATCCGTCAGGTCCAGCACAATGTCAAGGTCCAGTGTCGGCAAGACATGGTCGTGGACGGTGGAGGCCATAGCAGGCCGGCTTTATCGAGTGATGCCCGTACTAGGCTGGAGGATGTTCAGTGTCCCGATGCGATCATCTACAAGCCCCGAATTCAGCCCCAGAGACGGTGACTCTGCATGGTGACAATATCGACGGCCGCCGTGAAGGCTATTTCTGGTCCGCGCACCAGATTCACATGTGGCAGCGGTAGCTCGGAGGGAGGGGCGAAGCAAACGGCGACAGTGTGCTGTAGAGAGAAGATTCACAAAAGACCGCGTCCTGGAAGTTGGATGCATGTGCATCGGCCGCTGAGGTGAGGCTCGTAAACCGTGGGGTGGACACTAAGCTAGATCAACAAATGTCAGCTTGCAGGGATCAACCATAGATTCTAAAGCAAAGCTCAGCAGGTGGACGAGTACGAACATCAAATAGAATGCAGCTCACAGCGTCTCTGGAGGACTGGATAAATGGATGAAAGGGAAGCCGGCCGGCCATCTCGAAAGATTTGCGGGGGAAGTCGCTCTGCCTGTGGCATGGAGAGCTAACCCCAATGGGTCTAGTGCAAACAATCCGGTGCAACCGCGGAACTCCGGATTCGACCAACTACTCCGTACATTTCTATAACAACATTCGCTATTTTCTAGTGCCTAATGAATATGCAGCATGCTTTTGAATGGGTATACCACCTTCCAGAATCACTAATATGATTGATGGCCCCAGATTATATCGGACTTCGCAGTCACGGCCAGCAGGAGTTAATGGCTGCATCTACTCGTTAGTTCATCAGCGAAGGATCAGTCCTCGCATACCACTTCACCCTACCGATCATACAGGTTAAATTCTCGATGGATCACTTATGCTTTGCTTCCTAGCCTGGGCAGGCGCACGCGGAGATGAAGCAGAAGCATGAGTGCAGCCCACACCGCAGCGGAGAAGAACGTCACACGAAGTGCGGCGGCATATGCCCCGATCACTGCAGAAATGTCAGCAGTCTGTCCGACAACCGGTGTTAGACGTGTTTCGACCTACCTTGGTGTTGACTGAGGGGGTCCAGCTTTGCGATAGCTTGCACAGACTTGCGAACCAGCAAAATGATGTCGGCCTTGTTGGTGCCCGTGACCCTTTCGTCAAGCTCATAGAGCAGACTGTTCTGGAAAATCCAGCTGCTCGTTGCCACGCCCATGACTGATCCAAGATTTCGCCACAAGCCTAGAGTCGTCGTCGCCACGGCCTGGTCCTCTTGTTCGGAGGTCGCGAGCACCGAGACCATCAACGAAGGAAACGCGAACCCCTGTCCCAGACTCGTCAAGGCAACGCACATCATCGCAATCACATCCGGGGTCCCAACCCCCATGGTGGCGGCCGCTATCCCTCCGATAAGCATACAAACATCACCAATCATCACCGTCGGCTTTAGTTGCTTGGTCCGAGTGATCAGAAACCCGGTCGCTACACTAGAGGTCGTCACTGCAAGCGTAGAAGCCAGTAGCCTGAGACCGGAGTCTGTAGGCGAGGCCAGCTTGACTGCCTGGAAGTAGAGGGGAGCATTGAAGACCATGGTATTGACCGAGATCGCCCCGAAGAAATTCCCGAAAATGAGACTCGCACGCGGCTCCTTTAGCAGCAGCGAAATCGGCATGACTCCCCGCTCCACGTTACGTTCATAGCGGACGAACAAAACTGCGAAAACCACGAAAGATACCAGCGAGGTGACGACAATAGGATGAGTCCAGCTGAAGATATTGCCGCCCAGGTTGAGTCCCATAATGAGCGCCGTGACCGCGAGCACCAAGAGCAACGACCCCACAAGGTCAATATTCTTAAGCAAGCCCATAAAGGTCAGACGCTCCGTCTTGGCTCGTTTCCTCCCCAGGTCGGCAGGCACCGTCCAGGCGGCTACAATGAAGTAGATAAAGATGAAGGGCAGCTGTACCAAGAAAGCACCTCTCCAGCCCACTTGATCACATAGATAACCGCCGAAAGCAAGCCCAAGGAAGCCTCCCAGACCAAGACAGAGATTGACGTAAGACTGGTAGACTCCTCGGTACTCCAGGCGAACCAGATCACTAGACAGGATCATGCCCATCGAGAAGACGCCACCGGCGCCCATGCCGCAGAACGCCCGAGCGGCGATGAAACTCAACATGCTCTGGGCAGCCGCACACCACGCGGTAGTAATGAAGAAGACCGCGATCGCAAAGAGGTAGACAGGCTTCCTGCCCACGGTGTCGGAGATGCGGCCAAACAGCGGCAGGAACGCCGTGGATGTTAACAGGAACGCCGTCGACAGCCATGATGCCGAGTTCGAGGCGTGGAAGTGAGACGTGATGACCGGGTGGCTGGAGGCCATCAGGGTGGAATCGAAGAATCCGATGATGTACCCCATCATAACTCCACCGAAGATGAGCCAGAATCGCATGGGAGACACGTTGATGAAGCGCGAGGCATAGTCGTCGACTTCTGGCCTCTGACCCGCTTCCGGATCACTGTTGTCTTTGACATCATCTTCGGGTGCTGGGGGAATGGTTTCTAGGGTAGGCTCAATGTCAGGACCTTGGGGGATTGAGGTGACTCTGGTGAGACCGAGAAAAGCGGAGCTGTCTTCGGCGGTGAAGGAAGAGGATAGTAAGTTTGGATCAGGCCCGGTGCTTCCAGCATCGTGCGTATGTGTGTGCGTGTAAATTGGCTGGGATGGTGAGCCATTCAACAGGGGTGTTGATTCTGTGGCATCCGAGGCCACATGGGAGACAGTCATAATCGCGAAACAGTGTAAATGTATGAATCTAATCTTTATGTGGAAAAACTCTCAAAAAAAAAAAAAAACAACTGAAAACTTTTCACGGAAACAGCAACAACGAAGAGAAAACTTTTCTGTGCAAAGAAAAATGGAGTACTGGCAGCCAGACGTGGGTTGCAAAGGGGTCTTGAATCATAGGGTCCGATAACAATCGAAATTTATAGAGAGAGAGAGAGAGAGATTTCTAGCGGGTGGGGGGGAGGGGAGAGAAGCTAAGGATGCATGGCGCAGGTAGGATCCATCGCAGTGCACGGGGCGGATGGTGAAGGAGGGAGGGAGTCGACGGGTGGAAGCGCTCTAGCCTCTAAATATGACTGCGTACGGAGGAATACTCGGTCGATAGACTAGATTATGACTATGACTCGGCCTCCAACCTCAAGTCTTCGGACAAGACAAGAAAAAGAGGGGAAAGGAAGGGGACTGCGGAAGAGCTCCACTACCTGCCGCTAGATCAAAAATTTTTTTGGCCTTGCAGCTCACCTACCTGGTTAGTGATTGGCAGGGTCTTTGTTATAATCAAGATATCTGGTGACAGAGAATTACAGAAAATAAATCCCTCGTGCAGAGAGAGAGGATGCAGTGTGTAGTGTGCAGTGTGCCGGATGTAGTATGCAGTTCCATAAGCCAATTGAATGCATGGTTATTATAGGTGAGACCCGATGTCGGTCTATGCAAATGAAGTACGAAGGAGTATGATTTGTTGGAGATGGAGTCATCCGACCCAGATGTTGCATCGCGCCTTAAACCAGATGGGGCTTAGTCGCTGGGGCTCCGCTGCCATTGCCGGTACTTACTATGAGCATTTTGAGCCTGGTTATCTCGGCTCTCATCATGGATCCCTCATGGAAGTAGAAGTCTAAACTTCAAGGTCTCTGGGTCAACATGAGCCTACTCTGCTGCTGGTCGATTATCCAGCTGTACAAGGTGTAGCGTCGTCAATGTCAGATTACCTCCACCTCATCGGCTTCTCAGAATAATCACTCACACAATTCAGCCGCGTTCAATTGTCAGCTCAATATCAATATCTATCCCCGAACAAGCTGGGGTAATCGGGCGATTCGAATATATAGGAAGACCTCAAAGCTCGCAGCCGCCGTGTGACGCGCACACAGGCAAATGCCTAATTCATATTCCAGGGAAATTCCCGCCTGCATGAAGTTCATTGTAACACAGCAACAAAAGCAAAACCCCAACTCCGCTGCTCTGGGCGACTTGCATATCAGCCAGCTTGTTCCACGAGAGGTTTAACTTTTCACCTGCAGCGCAAGCTTCAAGGTTGGGTACTTTTCTTACTCTTTCAAAATCTCAAGGGAAACTCTTGGATGAAAGGGTATCGACCACTACACTATATATCGATATCTTCGAACTGTAACAGTCCTACTGTGGTATAAAAATAGTAAAAACACATCACGTATTTCCCCGTCATTGCCGCATGTTATCAAGTGCATGTATGTAACTTTCGGCATATACAAAGGTGCGCTCAAGAGCACCCTCCCGCGCCCGCAATTTCGATGATTACTTGTAGATGAAAGGCACGCGACATATGACTCGTTTGAGCAATTTCTGATCCTAGAAACCCCCAATCAATCCAGTCCAATAGTTCGGGAGAGCTTGAAGCCGCCCGGGACCAGACGCTGGAACACTTCCTCGGGATCATACTTTCTGGCCACCTGCTGCATGAATCTCACATTGACCGGTCCATACCCACGAAGCGGGTCCTGGGTGCCTCCGGCATAACTGATAACAATATCTGTTGCAGTGACTCACGCACGATCAGTATGCATTAACATGGTATGACAGGAGCGGGACGAGATGATGGGCGGTAGAAGGCGATATAACTCACTGAGCATATTTTCGTTGAAACGTTCCAATCCAAGCACGTTCCCTCCTCGCGCCTCACTGTCCTTCCAGAAAAGAGGGACCCAGGGCTGCACAACGAAGATAATTCCAAAGTCCTTGCTGCGGGCTCGAGATTTTGCCCTCCGGATCTGCTTTGAGTGGGTCTCGACGGCTTGACGGATAACGTCGGCTCTGTTGAGATAAGTGCTTGTTTGACCGTCGACGCTAGGTAAATGTCAGTTTGGAACTGAGTTTTTGTGACAGTGCCTGTGGGATTAGATGAGCCTCACCGATAAGATGTATAAGTATATCTGTTCTGGTTCACAATCGTCGAGATCCGGGTCGTATCCGTGATCTAAGGAATCTGATAGAATTTCTGAAACACTGCAGGCCGCATCACGGGTCTCGTGTAAGCCAACGTAGCGACAATATCGGTTCGACCTGTGGTGGCATTGTAATTGAAGATGCCATACCATGCGCCATAAGGGTCGGTGGCGATATTATCGGTGAAATCGGTCGCGGCAGCGATGTACTCCGGAGCGCGAGAGATATTATAGACAAGAGCGCCGCCCCATAGATCTTCCGCAGGCAGGGTATCCATATCAAACGTAGTCACGATGCCAAAGTCATTGGAGCCCCCCTTCAGGGCCTTGAAAAGGTCGGGATGTGAGTGCCAATTAGCATAGACAATCTCGCTGCTCGCCAAGACCACCTCGAAGCCTCGGACATTGTCACAGCTGAGACCAACACGCCCGTTGTATAACGAAAGCCCTCCGCCGGTCAGAAAGCCCCCGATGCCGATGGGCCCTACACGGCCACCCGCAACTGTGACGTTACTCTCTAGCAAAGTCTCGTACACTGAGCCCCAAAGGGCTCCGACTTGAATTGAAGCAGTGCCTGTGCTGGGGCCATAAGTAGTATGATTCATCAACGAGAGATCAATAGTAACTCCAGGCTCAATATTTGCCGCGCCGGGAGTCGGCGTGTGGCCGCCACTACGGACGGCGAAGAAACAAGGCCCAACATGCGAAGTGGTCAGTGTTCGAACAGCAACAGAAACATCTTGCGCCGAGAGAGGTTGAACAATGCAGGTAGGGTGTAGCCGGGCGTTGAGGGAGTAGTAGGAACGGATGGACTCTTCGTATGAAACACTGCCTGGGAAGCTATTCTGCTGCTAATTCCGCTGGTGTTAAGGGCTGCGCACTATAGCTCACCCGAGCCAGTAATTTGAATGGGCTGCTAGCTCGGTAAGGTGGTTGTAGCCATACACAGAGATCTGGGTTGACAGCAGATTGTGCAAGACAGGATTTGAGTAGGATGCTGAGTAAAACAGCTGCTATGGTTAGGCTATTCATTTCAGCGTGGAATCGATGCCTGATGGGCTTCAATGTTGTTCTCCTGCCTTATGGTTATTGTGAGCTGGATTGTTGAGGCATCGAAGTCTGAAATTGTGAAAGGTGACGTCTGTGTCAACAGTAGGCGATAGAATTTCTGAAATTCAGGGAAGCAGCGATGTCAACTTGAAGCAGGAAAGGCATGAGGGTGCCCAGGCCATATAGCCTATCCTAGGCTGTCAAAGACCCGAACATGAATCGTTAGAGCCAAGAGGTACCCCAGATGTCCAAAACGTTTGCTAGCCACCTACCTTATGCATCAAAAAAGAACAATTCAAAATCAGGCCAATGCGACACCCGAAGACCAACATGTTGCGGAGGATCAGAGCTGAGACCTTGACATAAATTTCCGAACCTTGATTGATCCGTTAACAGAATCCCGGAGCCCAGAAGGAGTAGGAGCGACTGCTGTGGACAATGGGATTCAAGTAGGATCCGAGGAGTTGTGGATTTTGTAGCCCAAATCCCAGGACCAGAATCTGATAACAACGGGTGGACTGCGGTGCAGTCAGCTAGTATTGGCATATTGGAGTTGGCTGTATTTCATGTCTAGGTCAGCTCGCATCTAAAGCATTTTCAGTCAGCCAGTGTCTTCCATATGCACTCTACTTCTATTTCTACGGAAATAAGTCCTACGTTAGATCTGGAATTGGTCCTTGCTCACAGAAGTATCCTTGCTTTGACACATCAGTCAAGTTTCATTCATGACCATAAGATGGGCAGTCAGGGTAAAAGCAAGGATCTCCCCTAAAGGCTTAATATCAAGCCCTGGATAGCGGTACGCTGCAGTATGATGAGGAGCGTCTCCATCTACTTTCAAGCTTGAGATACCTTTTTGCCAGGAGTCGCAAGAACAACACATACGCAGAATACCAGGAGCTTCGTCCCACACAGCAAGGTAATGGCTGGAGCTTCGGGTATTTTTGTCGTATATATATGGACAGCGAAAAACGCCCATTGCTGGACGTTCCCTGCCCAGGTACTCATGTGACACAAGTGGCCCGATGACGATCGCTGTGCTACCTTCCCAGGATCTTGAAAGACACAATTTTGCTGATTTCTGTGGGACCTGCGTTGTGGATGATTTACCTGCAATGCATACGCTCCCGTGTTTGGTCGCATGTCAGTCATCAAGCAGGCTTAGATGGTTCCAATGAGCTACAGTGACAACAAGAACAAACGGCATGTGTGCATAGCGGAAATATCGTTTTCCCTTCCAGAGGTGGCTGACCTTGTTCTCGGCCCTATCACAACAATGAGAAAGAGAATACAATCAAAGTCTCCTCGGGTGAAGGAAAGTAATGCCAGTCAGGTTTTCGTTGTAGTCAACTCAATTTGGAGCCTTTGACTATCTATCTAGCTGCACACATACAAAAGGACAAGATATGACTAGTGATGAGAGGGGCAGTATGTTTCTTATGCTCATTTCTTAAGGGTGCACTCCATTACTCCACGGAGCAGTTGTTGAGGGAGATGTCGTGCTTAGCTTGACATACGATGTTTTGCGAACGCGAGGTATGGTATTTTGCAGGTTTTGAGGCAGTCTGAGTGTATGATCTAGTCTGCTGAAGTGTTTACCGTCATTCTTCAAATCAGAAGCATTCAATTAGAAGCATTCAATCAGAAGCATTCACTCAGAAGCATTAGATCAGAAGCAGAAGCAGTCTGCGATACCACTATCATTCGCTCGAGTATACTCCTAGAGTAAAGTGCAAAGACCAGGGCCCCACATTGATAAGAGGAAAGCTTATCCGCGATCACAACACAACCGCAAGGCGGTGGCGGATCCCTCGGTGGCACTGCTTCGTCTCCATAGAACACCCCGCAATCAACTTATTTCCCCGACAACTACGGAGTATATCACACTTCAATCGTCACTCCATTTTTCCAGCCACTCTTCCTTCTGACTGTGCTCAAGACCATCCAATCCCCAGTACCTCCTCAACCCACCCCACCCCAGACAAGCAAATCCCTCCTCCATCAACCCCAGCAACAATGCACCCCCCACTCCGCATCGCCATCCTAGAATGCGACACCCCCGTCGACAAAGTAAACACAAAGTACGGAGGCTACCGGGGCGTCTTCGCGAAATTACTGCATGAGAGCGCCGCCACCCTCGGCCAGCCCGACCGACTGGACCCCGAGACCGGGCTGGACATTACCGGCTGGGACGTCGTGACGGCCCAGGAGTATCCCAACCTGGACGATGTAGATGCCATCGTTCTGAGTGGCTCAAGTGAGTGTCTGGTTGCTACCTTGCCCGTTTTGCTTTTTCACCCGGATTGTTGTTGTTCTCGCATGCTGCGACCACTATCTATCTGCATGTACATCCTGCACGGAACAAACATGCAACCCCCCCCTCCCCCGTCCCGGCCTTTGCAAAAGTCCAGATGACTCACATCCAAACCCCGGCTCATCAACCCACCCCCACAGAACACGACTCCTTCGCCGACCACCCCTGGATCCTCAAGCTCGTGGACTTCACGCGAAAAGCCTACGAGGACAAGCGCGTCAAGATCTTCGCCATCTGCTTCGGGCACCAGATCCTCGCCCGCGCGTTGGGGGTCAAGGTGGGCCGGAACCCCAAGGGCTGGGAGCTGGCCGTCTGCGAGGTGGATCTCTCCGAGCAGGGGCGGGAACTTTTTGGGAGGGAGAAGTTGGTAAGTCTGCCGCCTGTCCCCAATCTCACACCAAGGAAGGGGGCAAGTTGATGGTTTACTAAGGAACTGGGCTGCTAGCGCATCCACCAAATGCACCAAGACATCGCCTACGGATATCCATCCGAGGTGATCTCGCTGGGCTCCTCGCCGCGGTGCGCGGTGCAGGGCATGTATATCCCCGGAAAACTGATCACGGTGCAGGGCCACCCGGAGTTCCGGGAGGATATTATGGACGAACTGATCACCCTGCGCACGGCGAGTGGGTTGTTCTCGCCGGAGATGTCCAAGGACGCGTCCGGCCGGGCGGGGCTGCCGCATGATGGAGTGGCGATCACAGTGGCTTTTTTGAAACTCGTAATTGAGTCGAGGTAAGCTCCAACTTGGCCGGTTAGATAGACCGCAGCCCGCCCATTTAGACTCGAATTCAGGCGTGGTGAACTTGCAATACATAGATTTGAATAGATCGTGTCTATAGACTGGTTTCATCTTCTCCGTACAGCCGAAATTCAACTGATCGAATTTTCAACCCCGACAAAAAGTCCAGGTAAAATGGTATCATTTGCAATACACAAAAAGCGTGGTATCAAGCGCATGCACAAACCCAATCCCCCCCCACAGACCGCACAGACAGCTCACCCCGTCGCCGTGGGATCCTCCCTCTCCAAGAACGAGGGATCCATATCCACCCGCCTCTCAAACTTCTTCCACCAATCCTGAAAGCTCTTGAGCGGCACCACATCCTGGCCCTTATCCGACGACGCAAAGCTCGCCAGGAAATTGAAGGCGTTCCCGATAATGCGCTGCGCCAGGACCTTGGTGCTGATCGGGGGTCGCACGGGGGTCGTCGTCAGCGCCATCGACGACCCCGGGTTGTGATTCTCCTCGGCCTCCAGCGCGGCGAGCTGCGGCGCGACCGCGTGCCCGGGCTCGATCGAGATCCCCAGCGTGACCAGCGCGGACGACAGCGAGGCCGCCATTTCCGGGGCCGGCGGACGGACCTTGAAGACGGCGGAGGGCCGTTCGTTGGCTAAGGCGCCGATGAAGCGGAACTGCGGGGCCGATGATGATGCGACCGACTCCGGGAATTGGAGGTAGATGGCGGCGGCGGTGTCCGGGGGCAGCACGGTGCCCGGCAGGAAGAAGACGACCAGCTCGTCGAAGGCGGGCGTCTGCGGGAAGGTGAAGGCGAATTTGGTGGGTTGGCCGTTCGGTTGCGCGTCGACGGCGACGATGTCCGTCAGGCAGGGTCGGCCGGGGATGATGACGGAAAACATGATGGCTTGGGGAGATGATGTTGAGTGGCTGCGGATTGGAGGGACAGAGGCATAGAAGGTTTGCTGAGTGGGCGGATTTAATATAAATAGTACAAGCCGTACCGAGACAGCGATCTTGAGGGGTGGTTCAATGCATAATTTATCGACTGCTGGAGTTAAAGCTCAGGTGGTGCAGTGTAGGAAGAATTTCCTGGCGCGTTCCATGATGGAATCGCAGAGAAGCTTGACGGCAGTGACGAAATCGAGCCGTATGCCCTTATCGATAAGGGTTCGTTTCACATGACCTTGGCCTTCTGGCAAGTCTTGCAGTTCCCCGGGGTCCGCCTTTGCCAGTTGGCCCAATAAAGGGATCGGGATCGATCATTCAAATGAATTGAAAAGTATACCTACTATGTATGCCATATGGCACTGCTATCTTGCATCAGATTGATGTGAGACTCTCTTTACGAGATCCGAGAATAGTAAGCGTTGTCAAAAGAACTCTCACATTGCCTTCGACATACTTGACATCAAGTAACTATACTCAGGTCGGAACCTCTCCCGTCCCCTGTTTGTTGAGATCTACCCACCGTACCCAATGGTTCGAAGGACATCTTGTTCTTAAGAAAGACCGAGAAACTGTCGCGAAAGTGGCCTTTTCTTACTTAAAGCTAGAGGCAGGGAGTCCTCGATCAGCCAATCGCTCTTTCCCTACAGCGAAGTTACTGCTTGCCTCTACCTATCCAGCACGCACTGCCTCCTCATTTTGCTCTTTCTGCCTGATATGGCTGGGAATTGCGTGCGCAGCCCACTGGCAAATCATCCCCATGTAAGCTGTTTAGAGAAGATCGGCAGCGATCACCAGACCAGACTGGTCGATTGTACGAGACCTTTCTCTCCAATGACTTACAAGAATCAGGGTTCTGCTCTGGGAGAACGACCTTATATGCAGTACCAGTGCAACTAGAATCCCGCACAACTAACCTTTTTCAGACTAAGGTGTGACAATGACAAAGAGTTCTTTCTCGGAGGAAGTATACAGAGTACATAGACTAGCTGCTTTCCAATTGTCAGCCTTGTTTGTCCCTCTCCCCTTAGAGCCGACGCTAGAACTCTTCCATCCCCCAGTCTCTCTAACTCCCATCACCCGGCTTCTCTCCTGGAAACTTAGCGATGCCACCGAGCGGACTTGACGAATGGCGGTCGGCCAGGTCATCGAAACCTGGGCCTTTTCCATCCCGCCAACCCCCGCCTTTCCAAGATACATGTCCGTGACCCGCACCCGGTCCACCTTCCAAAAGGTCCATATAGATGGAGCCGATTTGCAATGCTTGGACCCGGAAAGCAAAGCAGGGGACTTTATAACGCTGAAAGCAGAGCAAGAATGTGTTGTAATCATGAGTGCTTGCCCGATGGATTTGAGCGCCTGTAACGCGGGCGAGCCTAGCAGCGCGAAATTCGACGTTATTTCAGCTGAGATGTTTAGTTTCTGGTTCTCTCAACTTTCACAATGCAGACGTTCAAGGCTAGGCCGCAAGCTTGTTCGTCTCAGTCGCCAGCAAAGACCAATACATAATGTAATGCAGTCTCGTGAATGAATCCATAAATTTGGATATCTGTACAAATATTTGAGTGTTAGCCCTGTGTGCTGGAAATAATCATTCTTTCCTTTTACTTCAATGTTTTCAATATATTATTCGAGAAAATAATCAAGGGGCGCTTGGGCGAATAGGATAGGAGGTGAAAATGTTGTCTGGGATTGGTCTTCTCTTCTAGGGATATTTAACTTGCCTCCTGCCTAAGATGCATGCAGCCCCCGTCTGCACTACAAGTGCCATTTGATGTCCTTCCCGGATTCGAATAGTCTGGTTTGCAGTGTCACAATGACCACTCATTTAAATTCCTGTCATACGAGGGCCCCGTTTTTAGAAGTCGCATTAAGCTCGGTTCATTTTGAAATAGAGCATCCAGGGCCTCTTTTCTTCTTATTTGTTTCCCCATGACAGCACATCACGTTCTCAGGAGGCTGTTTGAATTCCAGTAGAAAGCATGCATTCCGGACAAAAGCCTCCAAGAGCGAGTTCGAAATAGCCATTCAGACAAATATAGCGTATCACTAAACTGATGTAGCATTAGAATATGACTTCATCAAGTCATTTCGCACGAATAGTGCTGCGCGGGTGCCCTCTTCAATGGCTCCATCAATAAAGCTTCGCCAGCCCAATGCCCAGTCAGAATTCGAGAAATAGATATTTCTTTGCTTCGAACGCATGTCGGCAAGATGCTTCGAAAGGAGACCAGGACCGGGGAAAAACCTATGGATGTTACTCAAGATGTTCATTCAATACAAATGAGATCATACCATGCTCCTTTAGCGAATTCATCCTTTGACCAATTATGAAAGACCTGTGATCGTTAGGACCCATCCGCAAGGTAAAGAGGGGTGGCTTACAATCTTCTTGATATCCATAGGTATCAGGCTTCCGAGAGCTTTGATTGTCACCTGGATGTCCTCCTCTGGATGGAAGTGGCGATGTTGGCCCCCAAAACTAACGATATGCGTGTTCCCTGCTGGTGTTTTGCCATCACCGAACGCAACGAAAAGTTCGTTTTGAGGGTAACTGATACCTGTGTAAGAGCGCAAGTTTCTGTCCCCTACTTCAGCGTGCACTTTGACAATGTGGTTATTATGACCGACGCAGGCAGCCGTCTTTCTTCCTCCTGACAGAGGTGGATTGAAAGTGACAGAACTCAGGACATTTAAAGGGACGGTGCTGATTATCCTCTTTGCCTTGTATCGCTGGCCATCACGGGTTTTCACTGTGACGAGACTCCCGGTGTCATCAACGCTACTCACTGCGGAGTTGAAAGCGTAGGACAGATTATTGGTGGCAACGGCTTCTTCGAAGAACTTCCTGGCGAAGGCTGATTGCCCGTGCTTGAATTTATACCGTGCCAAGTGGTTCACACAGCCCTCGTAGGAATAACCACTGAGCGCCCACCAGTGCAATAGCTCAAGAAAGCTCACCGTCTCAAGCGTGCCACCGCTGCACACAAGGATCCAAGCCTCAATACCAAGGCGTTCATTCAGAGTAAGAGAATCTTCAATGTCTGAAATACGATCTGCAGCAGTCATTTGGTCGAGTGCAACAGCCTCGCTTGTGAATTCAGCTGAGTGTGGGAAGGGCAGAACCCGTTTCCCCAATTGTCCGTCAACGTTGAATAGCTTGCGGAGGCCGGAATCCATGATAGCAGACTGTAGTGTTTCGTTGTTATTTGTTATTTCCAAAGTTGCTCGGGGACGGACAGGCTCCTGCTGGTGGAGAGCGGTATGCTTACCTCCTCATCATGGCTAAACCGCTGAGTTTTATGAGAACTGGCCTGGACGTACTGGTTTATTCCCTCTCGGAAGTCCTGAGATATCTCGATCTCGTCGTGCATTTGATACCGCATGATTTCGCGCCAGACATTAGCTTGACCCCAATAAATCCATGTGCCTCCCATTTCAAATGGGTAACCCCCAATATCCGACGACCATGATCGGCCGCCGATACGATCTCGTCCCTCTAACAAAAGGACCTTTAGGCCTAGAATGAGTTAGGGAGATGGTGATATCCTGAGTGTGGTGCTGCCATACCAGCAAGGCACATATCTCTCGCCGCGGTTAGCCCGCAGTAGCCCGCTCCGATGACAATTACATCGACAACAGGGCAATTGGCGCCATCGAAATTCTGGGAGGGCCGGACAGCTCCAACACACGGTATACCTGTGTTTAACCCTTGATCGGGAGTCCATAAGTAACCATCTTTGGTAGTCATTGCAAAAGTGATATCATTCGTCTCGTGTCTAAGATACTGTTCAGAGTGATCGATGATCTAGCAACATTTTATAAGTAGGCCTCACGGGGTGCCCCGGATGTCCGAGGATGTGACATTTCAAGGCGCTAGGTTAATCTCAGGGTTATAATCCGCCAAGCCTCCCACTCCATTATCCCATCTCACACCTGCACCTCCATCCACGTGGGCATACACACCCCGCTGCCTCCCTGTGAAAGCCAGTATGACATCACCTTATGGTCAAGGTTTTGAGAGAGGTTGTGAGACTGTGGGGCTAGGTTTTCCTGTCTACCAAAATACCAAAGGCCCCACCGAGAAACTTGGTCCATCCGATATCTAAGATCATTCCAAAGAGTGGGCTAGATGTGACTGGAACCGGTTTGAGTTATGAGTGTATAAAGATTTCAATCGGAAGGTGGATACTCATAAAACAGATGTACTACTGTGTATGTGTATTCTTGCAATGCCTATCCAATAATGACAGACTTCAAGGGTGCGCGGGTACTGAAGATCCTGTAGCAGACCCACTGCCTCACCTACCCCGTACACACCTGAGCCCCCCAGGATCTTGGACGGAGGTCTCCGAGCCTTAGCGGTTTACTTGATCCGCTAGATGACTCTGAATATGCTTGAGTTTCTATCTAACTATCTAATCCTCGCCAATTTATATACAGAAATAAGTCAGATATCGCTTGTGGGTGATGATCCCTACCTTGTAAAAATAACAAGCAAGGCGCTGGAGCTAGAGCCTTACGAATCCGGCTTCCATTAGATTCTGTGCAGGCTTGGCGGATAATCTAACCTTTTGGGCCTCGCATGTTGCTGTTCACTAAATTTTCTGTGGTCCCCTCGGCTGGAGATCTCATTCTTACTTGATTAACAGGATGATTCCGCCGTTTCTGGCGTTGCTAACAATTCTGGATATAGAGACAAGGCGATCGGGCAGGCCGCGAGAATCGGGGGCACTTCCGGTGTAGCTAAATGGTATCCAACATTAGTATGGTAAATACATTCTAAGCTTGGCTAGGAAAGAGGGGGTGGTCCGTTCAATAGTTCCCAGATATCAGCTATTGTCGTAACAAATACTCGAATAAAAACTTTGAGAACTGAAGTGGGGAAAGGTTCCAAGTAAACAGCAATGAAGTACTATGCAATACTATGTGCGAACTCCCTTGAAGTATGTTGTATGATGCAAATTCCGAAGTAATTATTTTGCTCATTGCTCACAAAAGATGCAAATAAGTGGGGAGCTGCCTTGACACGTTGTTCTATACCACAAAATCTGAGCCCTCGATGCCTATCTCAATTGATGAATAGCTAGCCATGTATCTATCAGATAATTCAAATGCCCTTTGGTCTCTATCCAACTAACTCCCACTGAGAAACTAGATTTCAGTATTAAATACAATCGACTGGCTATGGCCCTCCAGATTGAGCCACTGATATCCAGGCCAGATCAACTATCCAAGAGATTATCAGATGATCTTGGTCGATTCACCGGGAGTAACCCAATGAACCTTGTCACTGATTCCTGATAGCTCGAAGTCATGCACCACGCCTTCCTTTGCTTCCGGGAAGTGGTTAAAGGAGCTGTAATGCAAGGGCACGAGAACCTCTGCGCCCACGTCTTGGAATGTCTGAGCCACCTCAGTGCCATTCATGGTAATCCGGAGCGGCATCGCATCATCCATGAGAACGTATGCAGCACCCATGTTGATGAGAGCAGCTTTGACATGGAATCTTTCTTTGATCTGCGCCAAGCCTGGAAGGTAGATGGTATCACCGGAGTACCAGATTGCATTTGGAAGGCCGTCAGTAGTCCCGAAGTTGGGACCAACAATGACAAACCCGATCACATCCTCACCGGGCACGTGCTCGCATGGTGTCCCTGTAAAGTTCCAATCATTCCCATTCAATTTCAGGCTCATTGTTTCCCAGTCCTTCATAGCCTGCACTCCTGGCCTTGGCTTCAGAGCTTCGGTACCAGCAGGAGTAGTCAGGACACGACGACCATCGAGGAACCTCATTCGGGAGATAGGGTCAAGGTTGTCAGGGTGGTCCTCGTGGCTGAGGAGGACAGCATCGATGGGAGGGATTTGCTCTGGCTGCAAGGCCGGCTCCAAAATAGACCAAAGCTGTCTGGTAAAGCCAGCAATGGGAAATGTGGTGTTTTGAGGCGAGAAGAAGGGATCGACGAGAAAGTTGACGCCGTTTATCTCAAGAACGGAGGCAGCGTTGATAATATGGGTGATGTTGAAATTAATGTTTCCACCCTGTTCTGGTCCGTCGGGCAAAGGAGAACCGGAAACATGAGTTGCAGCTGCGAGCACACTGGCAACGATCAAACGGCGAATAGGAGACATTTTCATTCTTGAATGTAGAGCTTCGAAGAGGATGAGATGAGAGAAATCGAATGATCATGCTGGGAGAGACGCAGGCAAAGGTATTTATAATTTCTGTTCGCATAGTTGACATATGCGAGGCCAAGGCCAAGACTGTAAGGTGACCAATCCGGTGCCAAGATCTCTGGGTTAGCTTTTACATAGTACCTAACTTCATGTCATTAACTACTACCTAGTAGTTAGTAAACCTAATGCCATCGGCATCCCGCATTGCGGGTAGGTTGTGTCCTCCGCGCGGCAATACGCTGCTTGATAGCATAATCCATTTGTCAAGTAAAGCTCTGAAAAGAAAAGTTTTATGAGCCATGATCTTATGGCCTTCCTCGCGTGGCCGAGTCCAGAGTATATTCCGCCAACTTCCGATGAGCTTCCCAGACTCGACTCCAACTTGGAGGAACGATCACTGGCGTGAAACCACTGCTTCTGCTGGCCATTCCTTAGCGCTGGAAAGGCACTTCTCAATCTCTGTTCGGGAAACATTTCTTTCTTTTGAGAAAAGTTCTGTCGAGAATGTTTATGGTAATACTAATATAGCTGCTACTTATTTAGCTTGGAAATCCGGTTGAATCGATCGTTTGATTACTACGTACATAGCGGTTTGTATACACTGTAGACTCGGCCTCGCTAGGCCATAAAATCTTGACTCTATGCTTAACACTACGGAGTAACCTCAACCTAGGGAATGAACCAATCGTGCACTGTAACCGTTTCCACTGCCTCGGGTGGTGACTGGGATGCTAACTTAGCACTCAAACCCAAATGAGCCACCCGGGGCAGTGGCAATCAACCGAGCCTGAACAATATACGGAGTAGGCCGGCAGAAAAGATCCGATCACCGCGCTAAAGGCATTGAGTAGAGCTTACCATTAGTTATGACCTGTGGCACTAACTAGGTGGGATACCGATCAAATCACCATTTGCCACCAAAATCCATACTTACACTACGCTGTACACGCAACTTGTCGATGTTCCTTCGGACCGGTTGACAGAGTGGGGGGGTTCGCATCCCTCCGAGTCCCGCCAGCCGCCCTTTTCCTAATCCAGTTAGATTTCCCGCCAAGACTAGATTTCCATCAAATTTCATTAGCACAAGTGTATAGACGCATGCTGAATGCGTTTGCACGTTGCGGACGCACCTTGATTTTAGGTGGAAATCCCGATCTCTATGGCAAGTTTCCTTTTTCAATCAATGATGGTCAGATCGGTATGTAATGGCTCAAAGCGACATACTTTCTTTCTTATGCGGGTGAGCTTGGCTACATTTCGAAACATTTGATTTACATGGTAGGTTGTGGTTTTTATTGTAATAGTGGACTACCAGTCCCGATGTTGGACGAAACTACTGCATCTACCGTCGAAGATAATTGATCTTGTAATTTTCTCGCTATTCCAGCTTCAACTTTTTACTCTTCCCGAATGTTCAATTTACAGATTGCATTTTATGTCGAGGTTGTTGCCTTGGCTGGTCCGTTTCCCCATACCAGACATTCGCCATCTTTAGCAAAATTGGTCAAACTGTCTAATAGCTCATATACCCAATATGTGCGTCAAATCAATTTTGGGTACGGTCCATTCCCATATTCGACAGGAGTTGTCACCTTCGGTACACTGAAGTCCTGGCCGGCGTGCTGTCTTCGTCTCTTCGTCAATTTCCCTATGTCAAAGCTATCTACTTCCGTGGCCCTCCGCTACAGTCGCTACCTTACGGTACGACAAGAGCATTGACTGAGTTGATGCTCAGGTCGTTGTGCTATGTGCCTCTCCCTCATTCGACTGAACTCGAACTTCGGTTACCGATGACCACTGATTTTGCGATATTTAGTCAAACTAAGAGGGTCCTCCTTTTTGGTCTAGTGGAAAAAGTCCAACATATTTCATGAGATCACATGACACCAAAAGGCATCACTTGCATCCATATCCTACATCTAACCTCTCAACCATGCACACCTTCTCCTACCCACACATACTATCACACACCTGTAGGCACACCTCTTATTCAGTCTCTCGCGCCTCGCTGAGAGTATAAATTTCTCTCCCTAGAAAATCATTGTTTCTTTTTTTCACTAACAGTTCTGATTTTTCTGTCGTATCGATGCCTCATTGGGGCAATGTGATGTCATGAAGATAAGGCAAAAGTCGGTTTGCGATAACTGTCGGAGGCGTAAGCTGGGAGTAAGCGTACTGCTGGAGAGTCTCAGTTTAGGAATATGAGCTAATGCAGGTTTCTGTCGCAGTGTGATGGAATGCGCCCGGAATGCACGCAGTGCAAATGGAGCCAACAAGCCTGCCCTGGCTACCCCGATCCATGGACTTTCATGCCACCTCAGGTATCGGGGTCACGAGATGCCCAATATAATCTCAGCTCAGCGGACCTCGCAGCAAAGCCAGCCTCGATAATAGATACTGGGCTGTCTAACGCAAACGACATCCAGCCAGACCACCGAGATCATCCAAATATTGTCACAAATCCACCTTTTGAAGATCCATCGGGCAATGACTTCGACAGATATGTGGCTCGCATAATTGAATGCTATATGCCGGTCGTGGAGCAAGGCCGGGCAGACAGCAACCCTGTCGATAGCCAGCCACGAATATGTGGTTCATGGGTTGAAGTGATGCCCAAGATGAAAAATGACAGACATCCAGAAAACACCATGGAGTTAGCTGTCAGAGCCTTTGCTCTCTCTCTTGATCAGACTGGACAGGACACTTCGACCGCGTACCGAAATATTTTCCATGCCTACGAATGTGCTCTTGGGAGCCTGCGGCGTCACTTAGCTCGGCCGGCATGTCAATTTCAAGCAGACATCGCCATTGCTATAATGTGTCTTGGCTTGGCAGAGGTTCGATTCTTTCTCAAATCTACGGCGATTCTTACATGAAGCCAACACGTGATTAGCTGATGATCCCGGAAACTCCTACAGGATTGACACCCCATATTAGAGGAGTTGGGAGCTTAATCTGTGCCGAAGGACCACAAGCCTTTCAACGCGACATATTTCATAAGCTCTACGTTGGCTATGTGCCTCTCTTGGTATATCCAACTTTTAATCGAACAATTTGAGTTTATTGCTGATTTTTGTCTGTGAACCAGATCATCGACTGTTTTCTATCACGTAAGCCTATGTTCATCGCAGAGAGAAATTGGCAGCACGAGCCGTTCACTTTGAACATGCCATCACCAATACAGAAGCTTTTCTGTAGAGCTTCGGCCATTCCGACCTTGTTGTCCAACGTCGATCAGTTCAAGGCCGAGAGTCAGGATAGCAGCTTGGCCGAGGAAAATGTTCTCAATGCAAGAGCTCTCAAATTCTCCTTTGTCTCGGCCCTGACAAACTTGAATGAAATGGAAAATGAACTGACATCCCAAGGGCATCGACCTTGCCAGCCACCTCCTTCAAATTCCAAGTCTGTGGAGTCTAAGCACTTGGACCGCGTTCTCTGGTTCCCAGGTATTACAAGTGCAAACGCATTGGTTTATCTTTGGACATTCAAAATTATCTGCATGACTGAGCTCCGCGAGCTAGCAGAATTTTCCGCTCCTCGGCATATTGAGGACGAAATCTGTTTTCGCGACCTATCTCCGGCTTCGCTTAAACATCAAATCATTGAGCTAGCCGTTTTGATTTGTCAGAGTATGGAATACTGCATCCAGGATGAAATGGCCCTTTATGGACCGGCGTCTGCCATCTACCCCCTTCGGATTGCTCATAAAATTTTGAAGTCGGCTACGAACTACGGCGCACATGTGACTTACATTGAATGGATTGTGGAGCGTCTTGTCTCCAAAGGCCTTCGTGCAACGCCCTATATAGTCTTTTGCTCTTGACTTCAACCTGTATTTAGGCTGAATGGCGCACAAATAAGTCTCATTTCAATTCAAACTTTCCAATGACTTGGTCAGACGAGTTACGTCTAGACTCACCAAGTGGCTCTGACTGGGAATAATGCGAGTCCGGGTAGACCACTGTTTCCAGTTCGTCGTAATTAAAGAGTCCACACGGTTCGCATGTGTTCATGCACATTGATTTATTTCTGTCGGTAAAGCAGGACGACGCTATTTGGTTCAATAAGCACCGAGATGACTTGCCTCAAAGACTCTGTTTGAAATACGCTTCTCATGGATGAGCAGGTTGTTTTGGATATACATACATAGCGTTCCGAAAGTCTGCCCACACCACCCATTTTACACGAAAACTGGCACTTTTCAAGGCAAAATACATCTTTAACCTTAGGTGATAAAATAACTTCCTTTTTCAACATATAATCAAAATAGTACCAATTATAATATGTAACCTCTGTTTGATTTTTCAAACTTTTCCTAATGGCATGATCGTCGCTTAAAGATTTTATAAAAAGTTGAAGTAAGTCCATGTGTGATGATGGTTGGAGAGACATGCCAGCTTGACGCTTGATCTCCTCTCTATTTTCGTCCCTCTGCAAACGCTAAGGTACCACCGGGCGTGCAGCGGCTTCTAGGTCAAGGCAGTCGATGGCTTCTTCATTTAAGCGAGTACTGTCGCTTACTGGCAGCCACTTTTGCCTTCCCCTAAGATACTAGTCATGTTGCCTTTCTGGATCAGCGCAGGGGTATCTCATCAGTCTTGCTTCACTCACCCCCTATAACAATTCTTCAATCAGCCACTAATTCAAGTGCGGAACTGCCTTCAGGTCAAGGTAGGATCACTTACCATAGTGGTAAGTGGATTTGTGCTCATGTAAGGCCTGTAGGAAAGAAGAAGTAGTTGCTAGGTACTGGTGATACTGATCCAAAAGGAGATATACTATCATGGGAAGGCTGGACGAGGCCCAGCCAACCAGCAGCTCTTGATCATTGGGGTCTTTGCTGAGGTCTATCGATCTCAAATACTACCGACACGGCGACCTTGCCATGTAGTGCCAAAAGAATAGCATTACTCCTGCACTCCAGACAAAATGGTTCCGGCAGATTCTGGAAGCTGCTGTCCTCATCCACTCGTTCGGTGTCATTCATTCGGACTTGGCGCTACGGCAAATTTTGGTCGACGATACCCTCGATCTACGCTTGGGTGATTTCAACTCCTCTCAGTGCACTGGACCCCCGGCTCTGGGTCACGAGAAAGCATCCCATTGCCTATCTCGGGACTATGAGCTTGATATCCTTGTTTTGGGGTCCACTCTTTATGAATTAGTCGCCGGCGGAGCTCCTTACAGCGAACTGAATCCTAATGAATCCGATGACCCGGATTCCATCAAGGCACAGATCCGGCGGCAACACGCGGTGGTGGATATTGAGATGGAAGACCGGTATAGGAAACAGCAATTTCCGGTTGTTACGGACGTCCGACGTGGAGATATCATACTAGGTTGCTGGAAAGGGCAGTTTGCCACAGCACAGGAGGCGCTTGATCGGTACCTACAAGCATGAATTCTGGAACTGCTGATTTTGACGAGGCTCGAAGAACGATCAGAACCTCTCACTATCTGAAGTTCGATGCCAAGAGACACGGCGTTTCAGACGGTTACACACAGCGCAGTCCTAAACTAGCATATGGACAGGCGGAAGGTTAGTAGTCAAATCACTTCTATACTAGTCCTCTCCACTGCCTCCCGACATAGGCACGATTGGCAGACAGATAATTCGTATGCTATATGGCTCCTCGTCAAATAGACCTGGCCGGGAACAATATAGGTACCATTCAGTACCGTTGCTCCGAACATCAATGAAGGTCGATCAGCCTTCCGTGTGTTGACCTAGAGATTACAAGTACAATCAGATAAGCCTGTGGATCTAACCAGGTTCAACTACAGTACACAGGAACCCAATAATACGAGCGCGATCCTTCTTCAAACCCAGACCCCATGACCCAACTTCTGATGGTGTGACAAACTGTCCACGAGGTCCAGAAGCAGTCATGCAGCTATCTCCTGCCCCAAAACCACTTGATCCACAAGATCTCATTTCAAATCTCAATTTTTGAAGAAAAAGGTAGAAAGGACAAAAGATGCATGCCATCCCTCTGCACCGTACCCATTCCAAGAACAAGAAGAACCTCAAAGCATATTGAGTTCCTCCACCTGCGTGACATCCTCAACAAACGTAGCGCCATACTCCTTCAGAATCCGTATCTTCTCCCTCACATTCATCACCAAACTCATCCTCCCAAAGTCGTCCGGCAGTTCGTTGGCACTCGCGAACCGCAACACCCACACCCCCACTCCATCCGCTGGCCACCCGTACACGATCACCTTCTCTTCTTCCTCGGTCATCTCCCTCAATCCCATCTGTACGTCGAGCCAATCCTGCTTGCTCGGCCAGAACGTCGCGCCGGTCCGTCGCAGAAGGTTACGGAACCGGTCTTCTTCCTCGGCACTGGGCGAGCGCTGCGAGACATGAGAGCGCGGGAGCGACAGTAAAATCATGTCGAGGAGGTCGGCTTCTTTGATAAGAACGCCGCCGGTGGAGGGGTAGCCGTAGACCGTGCACCCGAGGGTGCCGAAGCGGGTGCATTCGGTCGTCGATCGGGCAGGGCCTGCGGGGCATGAGTAGACCCGGTCCTGTGGGTTGTCTGTTGCTGTTCGTTGCCCGAAGAAAGAGAGACCGTCCACGTTGATGGGAATTAGGTGGCCCATGGTCTGGTGGCAGAGAATTGAGAGGAAGGTGGGGGGTGATGGCGGCAAGCATGATGCTATTCCTCATGTTTCGGCATGGGATTGATCGAAGAGTTCAAAACCGCTGGGAGAACGAGGGTAGCCGTATGTCAGATGTTTGGTAAGGAAGGGCCTGAAGTAAACATATCTGTACATGGGTTCCAAGTACTGTATCATACAGACTAGTATCGTCGCCCTTAGCGCTTACAGCATCTTGGAATGAAATGTGGATGACATTCTTTCCAGGGATTATTTCCGCGATTAGTTCATTGGAAGTTGGCCACTGATTGACACGCGATGTCACGCCCAACAGAAGACCCTGATTGACAGCCATCCCTAGCCCACAGCGCTACTCTGGGGAAATTGGAGTCGAATGCACTGCCCATCCTCCCCTCCGAGCTATCCGACTCGTTCCTCTAAAGGTGTACTGTGGTAAACCCTCGTCAAATTATTAGTACAGTGGACAGATGTAAGATTTTAAATCCTTGAAGGGTATAGACAAGCCCGCCAATCATGCATGTCCCCAAGTAGGGTTTCTGAGAGATGGATACAAAAGCGTCTAATACAAGCCTTCAATGCTACTGACACACCCAATTACTAGTATGTTATAAGCGGAAATTACAGGATGTTGTGAGAGACGCATTCCAAGTATCCTAATGCAGCCTTCCCTCTAACCACTGGGTCAACTTCATAGCAAACAGGCAGGTATTATCTTGATCTCCAGCTCGCGCATCGACCTTAAAAGTCCACGTACCACTCCTCAAAAACATTGGAAGGAACTGGAAGTCGAGTAAAATATCACTGCGGCCGCTGCCGGCCATATAGTCAACCTGAGCTCCAGAGGTATTGCGAATCGTAAGATGGGCCAGATCATTAAAGGGTGTAGTCCTTAGTGGTCCTGTGGCAGAGTCTTCGTTGTCGATACTACCATCTGGGTAGACAGCAGAGGCGCTCACTTTAAGGGTTGCATTAATGAGGCCTTCGTCGGGTAATGCCAGCTCTTTCTTCTTGGATTCGGGTATATCACCGCGAAGGTAGACAAAGAAGACACGGTCGCTTGATTACGCTGTTAAAATCAGAAGAAAACCAAGAAAAGGACAGGTCTTACGCAACGATAGGAGTCGGGGCAATCTCGAGGAACTCGATTTTGAATATTTGGTCGTTCTTAGGCACGGCATCGTAGATGGCATCGTTATCGCCAGGGACTCGCTCATCGGCCATTAGATCATCGCTGATGAGCAATTCTTGTTGTGTGGGGTGGGCCTTGGAAGAAAAAGTAAGCACAGCAGTGCAAAGAGACAAGATTTGAGGAAGAATTGATTTTATCGCGTACTTGCGTCAACAGGTCAGGGTGAGTGAGCAACGAGGAACAAGCGAAGGGTTGGCTTTGTACTATTTAACTGTCTACTAGGCAACTAGTAGTAGTACTAGTTTAGAAACTGCCTCGCGACAGTAGTAGCTGACTTCAATCAGCGCCCAGCCACAAGAGGGCCAGTGGCCTGTAACTTAGCCTAAATAGCTCCAACCGGGTCTAATATCGCATATAGAACGGTCACTAGGCCAGCCGTGGAACATCCTTTAGGCAGTTACAATAGATAGAACTCGGTTCACTCCGGCCTGCCTGCACGGTTGTAGATTAACAAGGGTTCGCCTCTTGTACCGTGCACTCTCATCCCCGGTCCAGGCCATCGTCGCTTCTTGCAAGTAGACTCACGATCCAGTACCTCTGTATTGCGGTACTCTTCAGGTGGGTCATCGTTCCAGATACAATCATCGACAAATGATGTTGACACTTCATCGCCCAAGATCCGGTATCTCCAGGTCCGCTAAACCCTCCATGGGACAAGATAGTTGTGGCATGCAGGCGTCACAGCCCGTGGGTCCTGAGAGATACACCATGGACGTCAAATACGGCAGGGCGGTGTCAAGAGGTCCTGAACCCGTCGACTACCGGGTCTGAGGAACCATTGTGCAAGCCCGGCCCATGACCGGGAGATTGTGGTACAAAGTCAACATCTCACTGAAAAGATATACCTGGGTCTCGACCCGTCCGGGCGGCGGGTGCCACGTTCGATGAGGATCCCGGCAATTATCCGCCTGTCACGGACCTTTTTCCAAGATCGTAAAGATGAACCATGATTCCTTTTTCTGTGCTTGTGATCAGATGGAACATGTCATTATCTTGTAGACGGTCACTCCACTCATCCCGTAGGTCTATGACAACTAGCATCATAACACTTCAGAAATATATGGTGAGCTTGTGCGATCGTTGACCACGGCTGACAGTATGTACTTCCCGAAAGGCACGGTGGATGAGGTGAAAACAGATGTTGAATACATATAGATATACCTTCCTTCTGGAAACAACGTCTAGTTACTAGTTACTGGCAGGTACTATCTAGATTCGGGCTGTACAACTACTTAGTAGTCAATTGAATCTATTTAGTGATTGGATCATTACCAAGCGCCAGGAGATTAAAATTAGATTTCTATAACGAAAGCTTTACTTGTCACTACTAAGATTAAAGACAAAGTTCGAAAAGTACTACGCCATGCATGAATCCAGATAAGATGTTTGAAATAACAATCATTCCTAAGAAGGTAATTTCTAAAATGAACAAGATTTATTCAAAAATCTTAATATTTATATACTTTCATGTATAATCGACTAGGCTACTTAGTAAGAAGCAACATTAAATTAGACCTAACGTAAAAAAAAGTTATCTAATCTCAGCAGCAACCTAGTTTAGAAGTAGTTAACCCAACAACGGATGACTCAAGCATAGATTGTTTCCGTGCATTTTTGTATACCTCCCTGACCACTCACAACTCTACCATCGAACCAAAATGGGCAAGTCCAATCTAGAGCTGGTCAAAGAATGCGACCGGTAACTGCCTTGCCCCTCCAACCCCTCCCTCTTCACTCTTCATCGGAATGCTTGCTTACCCATGATTCCCCCGCGGTAGATTCCCGTACTACCAGGATGACCCCGCATTCTACACCGCGCACCTGGAAAACTATCACCGCTTCAAAGTCAGCGGCTGCGACGCCGTGCTGGGCTACATCCTCAACAGCGTAGTGGAGAAATTCCCCTGGCCGGCCGATTTTTGGGCGGTGGACGGCGCGACCCGGACGGTGACCCTCGTGACCGGCGCCGATGCGACCCCAGCGCAGCGCAGCCGGCAAGTCGCGCAGACGCTCGCCGCGGCGGTGGAGCAGGGCACGTTCGAGATCCTGCGCGGCTGGCGCGACGAGCTGTACCCGATCTACGGGCCGGGGGGCGAGTTCCTGCTGGAGATGGAGCGGTCGGCCACCCCGCTCTTCGGGGTGGTCTCGTACGGCATCCACGCCACGTGCTACGTCGAGGACGACAGCGACGACGACGGCCGGGGGCTGCGGATCTGGGTGCCGCGGCGCTCGCGCACGAAGCAGACCTACCCGGGGATGCTGGACAACTCCGTGGCGGGCGGGATGAGCTCCCACGAGCGGCCGTTCGAGTGCCTCGTGCGCGAGGCGAGCGAGGAGGCCTCGCTGCCGGAGGCCGTGACGCGCGCGAACGCGCGCGCCGCCGGCTGCGTCACCTACTTCTACGTCCGGAGCTCCAAGGCCGGCGGCGAGACCGACCTGCTGCAGCCCGAGGTCGAGTACATCTACGACGTGCGGGTCGGCGCGGACGTGGTGCTGCAGCCCGGCGATTCCGAGGTCGAGCAGTTCCATCTGCTCTCGGTCGACCAGACCCAGGCGGCCTTGGCGCGCGGCGAGTTCAAGCCCAACTGCGCGGTCGTCTTGATCGATTTCTTCATCCGCCACGGCATCCTGACCGCCGAGAACGAGCCGGATTTCTTGGAGATCCTGGCCCGGATACACCGGCGCTTGGAGTTTCCCACTGCCTCGCATGCGACGAACTAGAAGGAAAGAGGAGGCGGGACTGATAAAGGCATGTATGAGAGCGAAGAAGGAGCAGCAGCAGCAGCAGCAGCAGGGAATGTACACAACATGTCATAGAATTTAGTGGTTCTCTATTTCAATTATACCCAAATTTCACCAATCGAACGCCGGCGCTGCAATCGAAGGACCCCAATCAAATGCAATCAGACTTTTTTTTTTGGTCGCTTTCCCAAATACTAATCGGACTTCGAGCGCTTCTACAACCCATAGTAGCCTAGGGAATCAGAAAAACAAACGTCAAAGACGATTCTCGTCCTTTGCTGTCCTTATTTCTTAAGAAGAAGATAGACATAGTCGATCCGCAGGGGTGCCAGCTTCTTGTAGGGGCCCTCGAGGTAGAGCAACAATCCGCCAAAGGAGATGAAGACAGCCCTGGAGAGAAGAGAAAAAGATCCGAGGTTAGTCATAATCACAACTTCCATGAGATGTCGACATAAAAGATCCCAATTCCCAAAAACACACCAAAGAACTTACATGTTTCCCGAAGTCGAGCCCTCCTCGAACCGGTAGACCTTGCCGTGGCAGACGTAATCGTAGTCGTTGGCCAGGGTCTGCTCGCCCATGCCGACCTCCTTCCAGCCCGCCTTGGCCCCGGAGTCGTCCTTACCATCCAGCGACAGAGTCGACGCCAGCGCCATGTTGAGGGACTCGCCCACGACGCAGGGGTACAGCTCGGTGTTGACGTCGAGCGTGAAGGTCGTGAAGTTGTCCGAGGAGGTGCAGGTCAGGCGCGACACGCGGTCATATTTCTGCTGGTTGATCGCCGTGATGGTGAAGGTGTCCTCGAAGAGTAACGGGTCGGACATGGTGGGCAGGTTTCGTTGCACGCCGAGTTTTCTTCGAGTAGGGAATTGCGACCTTGGTCGTTGGTGTCAAAGGTGTGTAGAAGCTGGTCGATGAATGGACAAAGCGAGCGCGCGCGCGTGGAGGATGGAAAGATCCAGAGAGAAAGAAAGTGAGGAGTTCGCGCGGGAGAAACCCGACGGACAGCTTTTTTGGTAGTAGAACTTTTAGTGCCGCCGTCGTCCTCGCCGCCGCCGCCGCCGCCGCCGCTTTTACAGTACCTTTCCGTGCATTGCCCCGCAGCATCTCAAAGCTTGAGGAAACAATTTCGTGCGCGCTTCAGCTGAGTTGCATTTACCACAACAACACCCTCAGTAATGTCTTTTCGAAAGAGGAATATTGGATTGTCGACTGGAGGCGATCGGACTGCGTCCGTCAATGCCTCTGCCGGGCTGCAGCAAGCGACGTCCACTGCTGCTGCTGCTGCTGCTCCAGAAACCACACCGGGCGTTCGCCCCTCCCCCGACGATGGGCGACCGACGACGTCGACGGGAACACCGTCGCTTGATAACATACTTGCTGGACATGGTGGGCTTCCTATTGGGAAGACGTTGCTAGTGGAAGAGAACGGGACGACGGACTTTGCGGGAGCTTTGCTACGATACTACGCAGCTGAGGGCGTGGTGCAGGACCACAGAGTCCATGTCGTCGGGATGCCGGAGCAGTGGGGAAGAAGTCTTCCGGGGCTTATTGGGCCAGCTGATGCTGTCGATGATAAGCAAGACAAGCGCAAGGGCGAGCGCATGAAGATCGCTTGGAGGTACGAGCGCCTGGGGGAATTTGGAGCAGGAATTGCAGGGTCAAGAGGTAATTCGATATATGTCCATGGGTGTGAATGAGGCGCGTTGACAATTGATAGTGCCTACAGCTACTTCCGGGGACCAGAGTCAGCCGACTGCAGACGGAAGTCCGGACAAGCGACCTGCGTTCTGTCACGCCTTCGATTTAACCAAACGACTCACACACCCCTCCATCACCAATCTCAACTACATCCCGTTCACCCCGTCGAACGAACCCTTGTTCACGACCATTCACAAACGCCTTGATGCTGCTATCGCTTCGAGCCCCCCAAACACTGTCCATCGCATCGTCATCCCATCTCTCCTGAACCCCACGATATACCCGTTCGAATCGAGCCAACCTGATAGCGTTCTGCCGTTCCTCCACTCCCTCCGAGCACTGCTCAACACGCCCGGGATTCGAGCCACGGCTATGATCACAATCCCCTTGTCTCTGTTCCCTCGCGCGTCAGGCCTCGTCCGATGGATGGAACTCATCAGCGACGGAGTCATCGAGCTGTGTCCCTTCCCTCACTCAGCCGACGCGCTCGCCACCTCCGGCGCAGCCACGTCCCACGAGGAGCCTCCCCAAGGAATGTTGAAGACTCATCGGCTACCAGTCCTGCACGAGCGTGGTGGCGGGAGTGACCAGAACGTCGGCCAGGACTGGGCCTTCACATTGAGTCGGCGGAGGTTCGAGATCAAGCCCTTCAGTCTCCCCCCCGCCGAAGGCGACAAGGAGGGCCAGGACGGCGCGGTTTCCGGAAGCATGCCGAAGAAAGCGGATCTAGAGTTCTGAAGTGTTCGGTGTTTGTTTGAATGCAGACATCTTCGCGATTATTCCTCGTGTTCCGATCCTCGCATCATATCGTCCAGCTCGATCTGCTCGGACATGGCGGGCCCGGTGTTGACCATTGTGCGGAGATAGTGTCTACCGTACGAGTCGATGCCCGGTCCGGCGGGCGAGGCTGCGAAATACGATCGCAGGCGGCGGTTCCTCATGCAGGACGAAAGACCCAGCCATGCTTTACGGCCCCATTAACAAATAGTTCTGATGCAGAGAAGTGGTGAAAGTGGACATACCTAGAAGCAACAGGAGGGGAGTGAAAAAAACGAAGAATAGAAGCAACAAGAAGCTCATTTTGACGCCTAATGATCCTCGTCGTTCGACAATCAATCACATCTCCTGGTCGCGGAAGAGCATCCATCAGGAAGGTGCCCAGTGTATGGTGGCCCGTGCTCATTACTAATCGCAAATTATCGGCTAACCGTAAGAGGAAAGGTCTCCATTGGGGCAGCTTCTTTAAGAGCTTCCATCCCACTAAACATTTTTTCCTCAATTCTTGCTCTTCCCGCCAGAGAACAACACGGTCTCTGCAACACTTTCGCAGTCTTTGCACTGCTAACGCATAAGATGCTTATGCGTTCTGAGTAGATGGTAAGCCTCACTTTGTTTTTTTTCCCCTCCTTCCTTTGCATGATTATATGAACTACTATAATCTGTCAATCCCCTGAAGCTCACAATAATCTCATTTAACGAGCATATGTGATTGAGAAACGTATTGAAAATGATTTGCAATGCCTATCCCGCTGTTGATCCTCTGCATCACTCCTTGAGTCTTCGAGCTAACAGCGCCTTAGTTACAACAGAGATTTACTTCCAAAATAAATTTTTTACCTTCCCAATGGAATCAGACCCTCCCCTCCCCGTCCCGATCTCGTATATCGCGGGTAGCTACTTTCTCTTCTCCATTGATGCCGTCACGTATCTGAGACGCGAGCACCACATCTGCGGCGTGCTCACCGGCACCCTGCCGCAGATCCCCCAGCAGAATGTGTTTCTGGGGTTGCCGCTGAAGCTGATGCCCGAGGAGGCGCGGCTGCTGGTGGACAACGGTGTAGCATGCATTGTAGACGAGGTAAAAGCCCAGCGCGAGGGCATGCGCGCCCTCCGCGAGGCCGACCGCCAGAAGTATCGCCGCGAGCTAGAATCCCAGGGCGCCCACGCCATGCGGCTGCAGACCAACCGCAAAGAGCAGCAGCGCGAGGAGGCGCTGAAGCGGGTAGAAGCGAAGAAGACGGCCGCTAAGAAGAAGGCTGCTGCTGCTGCTGCTGCTGCCGCCGTGGGCGAGGGTGAGGGTGAGGATAATAGTGCTGCTACAGGGAGCGATGAGCCCGCAGCCCCAGATACTGCTCCAGCTCCAGCTGAAGATACCCTAATGACTGCCACCACCACCTCGATACCATCCACATCCACGCCCACAACCACCACCACCGCCCCCTACGGCACAACAATGGGCATCACCCCCGCCACCTCCCACCCACCACTCCCGTACACACCCTCACCCTCCTCCTCAACCGTGCTCCCCCCGCCCGCCGTGCCCCCCTCCTACCCGCTCTTCGCCCACCTCCACGCAGAGGGGTACTACCTCTCGCCCGGCCTGCGCTTCGGGTGCCAGTACCTGGCGTACCCCGGCGACCCGCTGCGGTTCCACTCGCACTTCCTGGTGGTCGGGGCCGACTGGGACGAGGAGCTGGATCTGATGGCGCTCGTGGCCGGCGGACGGCTGGGCACGGGCGTCAAGAAGGGGTTTCTGATCGGCGGGGCGGCGGATGAGTCTGGTCTGGGGGATGCGGGGAGTGTACGGACGTTCAGTGTGGAGTGGGCTGGGATGTGAACTCTTGGTACTGGTGTTGATATTGTGGAGGGTTTACGGTTCGAAACTGATATGTATTGATGTGGATGCTTATGGTGGTTTGGTTGCATTGCGCCTGTTTCTTGTGAGGAATGGGGTTAGGCTCGAGCTTGTGCTGCGCTGCGCCGTTGTCTGTCTCGAGTTGATTAATCCTCCTGGTGATAGGTGATGGACTTCTTTCGTGGGTAGAGAGATGCGGTGCAGCGGGAACGCAGCCTAGCAGAAATGCATAGGGGCTGTTTTGCTATGCCGCTAGGGCGGCTGGGTTTGTCGTCTGCGGGTTGATCCTGCGCAGCTAAGAGCCGTCCCATTTGCCCCATCTGGGGTGCTTAGGTGTCTGGCTGAGGTGCGTCTGGCTGAATTGAGATTGAGCTGAGTCGGCCGAGAGACAGGCCATGCTCGACCAAAGATAGTGCTTGATGTGAGCTACAATGAACATGAATTAACGATTTCAAATATGATGCGAAGATATATTCTGGTGTAGATTGATCTATATCAACAAGACCGACTTCTGTAGACCTTTGCGCATGCGCGTGTGCATATGCGTGTGCAACGTGCATTGTTTCAAGGGTCCTTGAGCCTCGTCGGAGTATAGCCCAATGTAAGGTATTGCACTGGAGTGCCTTGTCGCGTGAAGCCAGCCAGCACTTCTACGCCAGCCTAGTTGGCGGGGCGCAGTGCCTGCAGCCGGGGTTTGACTGCAGAAGCTCGAGACCTCCCTCTGTCGAGTTCACCGCTGCACGGAGACGCCGAAGCTAGCTCGTGGGCACAATCTCTGTAGCCATGCTTCTTCCACAGCCAAGAATCAACGAGTAAGCCAGCAGCAAGCCCGCCCTGCCTCAATGCTCCAGCATCTCCCAGCAACCGCAGCCACACTGCACAGGCATACAATCCTGATCCTTATACCCCGAGCACCACCAATAACCCCATAAATCCATAAATCCAAGCCCCCAGGACAGAAACCCAAGGGACAGTCCAAGGCCAAACCTCAAACATAATCCACATTCCTCCACTTGAACTTCTTATTCGCGCGATCGACCGGCCGATTCTGGAACTGGCTGCCATGCAACTCGAACACGAGCTTCTTCTGTTGCGGTTGCGCTTGGTCTTGCTCTTCACTCTCCCCAGCCGCATCTCCAGCCCGATCCTTCCCCCCCGAAGCGAAGGGTAAAGGCAACTCAAACCGAAAAACCGTATGTTCCTTCGGAACCACTACCCAAACACCAAAAGTTAGCAAACCCCACCCCCAAACCCCAAAGAAACCAGACCAGAAGCAAAAAAACTCACACGTAACTCGATCCCCCTCCCCCACCACCGTAAACGCAAACATGCCATCCCTCACCACAATGCCCCGCAGCCCAACCCGACTCGCACACCGACTCCGCACCACCTCCACCTCGGCCCCATGATAATCACAGCTCACCAGCTTACTCCCATGCGAGCTCGGCGTAACCACACACCCCGTCTTGCTTCGCGGGTCCTTCAAATCGAGCACGGAGAGCATGTACTCCACCCACAGCGCGTTCAGGCCCTTAAAGGTGGCGTATTTGTATTCCCCTGCATCCGCACCATCACCCTTACCAGCACCCTCTGGCTGATTCTGGTTCTGGTTCTTGGACTTGCTCTTGGTCTTGGAATGCTTCGTCCGCGACCGGGAGGTAGAAGGCGCCCCGAACACCTCGGGGTGGGCGCGGCGCTCCCTCGCGGACAGGGGCCGGGGTTTCTGGTGGCGGAGGAAGTAGTCCTTGCGGCGGAGGCGGTGGAGGCGGCGGCGGTGGCGGTTGTCTTCCGGGGTCGGGGAGGTCGGGCGCACGTAGAGGGGTTTCTGTTTGACGCGCTCGGTGAAGAGGGTGGTGGCTGTGTCCGGGGAGTGGGCGCGGAGGAGGAGGGTGTGCGCTATGTGTTGTTTTTTGGGGGTGGTTGTCATTTTTGTTGCGGGTGGAGTGGAGGGTGTGGGGTTTGTGTTTGGGGTGAAGTGTAGGAGATGAGAAGAGGAGGTGGATGGAGGATAGTTGAGGGTGGAAGTGGAAGTGGAAGTGGAAGTGGAAGTGGAAGTGGAAGTGGAAGTGGAGGTTGTATGTCAACGTGAGGTGTGGTGGTGACGGTAGTTGGAGAAAAATGTTGAATCGGGCTTATCAGTCATCGAACTGATAAGATCGCTCGCTGCCTTGGTGCCTTGATGCCTTGGGATGGCGGGTGTCGACGAATTGTTGGTCCCCGGTCTCCCATGCTCGCTGAGACTGGACTGTACAGAAGTCTTTGTTTGTGGCATGGCTTCTGCTGGATATTGTAAGTTGCGGAGACGTTTTCGATATGCCTCTTTCACGCAAAGTCTGGTTGCTATGGTGGTTGATCTCGCTGGTCCCCACATGATGTATACTCTTATGCAGCCAGTATACATCAAAAGCTTGAGGACATTGAGGACTCTTCATAAACCAGTTCTACTGACTCTAATCTATACTCAGCCTCTTGAAAGCACTCTCATATTGACAAGGATATCTTACTCTACCGCAACCCGCAGTGAGCCGAGCAAACCTCACTCCACATATCATTGCCAGGTATACCCTCCTCAGATATCGCTTCAGTTTACCATGGTTTAGATATTGGGTAGACTCCTGGACCAAACATTTTTGATCTGCTTATAGTTTCCATCGAAGATGAAATGGGTTGGGCTATCTCACTTGCCATTCTCACAAAAACAGCAAAACCACAATGCTGTTATTCCTCCACCTCAGACACCCTCCATTCACTATCACTCTCAACGTAGCCTGCCCTCATCAAACCCCCCTCCTCACCGTATCCCTGTGAATATACCCCCCAAAATTACCTTATCGTTCCAAACACTAGCATACCTAGGAGCAACACTGCCTCAGACCCGTCTCAAGCCCCACCCCGAAGACTCGGAATCAACAGTGGTGTTATATACACACCACTATATAAATCACCGCCTCATCGAGTCACCAGAGCAACAGTTCCTCGCACTATTTCTTTCATCAACCAATCACCCCTGCTGACTGCTTCATCAAAAAGCCTAGCACCCCCCTCACACCAACATGGATAATCTCCTCGACTCGGACGACTTTCAGACACCGCTCAGTAGTCCCAGATCATGCATATCGACACCCCCTACCTCTCCACCCAGTAATGGCAGCTCAAACCCTCTATCAGCTCGATATCTGGGTATGATCAGACTTCCTTCATGCCATGCTAAGCAACCATCGAGCTAACAGACTGTCAGAACGAGAAACGTCTCCGCTTCTATCGTACACCGCGCGGTTTCAAAACCTTCTCGTGGGACTCCCATTTCGTATCAAACAAAGCACCTTCACTGCCAAAAGTACACCCACAAGTGTCATCGATGACATCAAAAGTCGTCGAATTAACTTCCTTCGAGCAAAGAGAGACCTCATCATTCCTCTCCTAGACAGGGTTCCCGACGTGCTGAGCGATTCTGAATATCATGGGCAACCAACTATCGAGCAGCAGCAACAACTGACATCTCAGCCGAGAGGGTAAGTAAAGACCCTTAATACCTGGGCCTTGTACACCCTGATTAACCTTGCAGGTTGCGGGCAACCCTGAAACCATACCAGCTCGAGGGGCTTTCGTTCCTCATGTACCTTCGACGAAACGGAATGGGTGGCATTCTAGGCGACGAGATGGGACTCGGCAAAACTTTGCAGACGTTGACGCTCTTTGAACATGTCACGGAGAGTGAACGATCGTCTTGTATCAATCCTGCACCATTTCTGGTTGTTTGCCCTCTGAGCGTCTTGGATACCTGGATCACTGAACTCACAAAGTGGACTCCGAACCTCACTCCCGTCAAGTTTCATGGGACACGCGATCAAAGAGTCATGGTAAAGAAGCTCTTTTCAAAGAAGCAAGGCAAAGAGGGCTGCTTCAAAGAGGATGTCAGAAGCACAGTGCTGATCACCTGCTACGAGACGTTGATGGCGGACATCCTCTGGTTCCGAAAGGTGGCAATCTGGAAGTATGTTGTGCTCGACGAAGGCCATCGGATCAAGGACAGCAACTCCAAGCGGGCACAGGCTATGGGCAAGCTTCGTGCCGAATATAAGCTCATACTCACAGGGTTAGTGATATTGTCCATCTCTTGACCTTCTCATGCTCACCAAATCTGGTGTTTAGTACTCCGATTCAAAACAACTTGGGCGAAGTGTGGTCGCTGTTGCACTGGCTTTTCCCCGAAGTTTTCACACCGTCGTCGGCTAAGCTGTTCAAGGACGCATTTTCGCTGAACGAAGGCAAATTTGATGCTTCCTTCTCAAATCATATCAAAGGGTTTCTCAACCTCATCATGTTGCGACGTCTAAAGGACTCTCCGCAGGTCGGAATCAATCTGCCACCCAAGCAGGTTGTCACACTCGCTGTGCCGCTTTCGAAGCTGCAACACTCTTTGTACATGAAAGTGCTGACAGGACTAGACGAAGCACTCGGTGAAGTCTCGCGGCCGTCGTCGACGTTGAAGACAGACAAAGAAGGCTGGCCTATCGACAGGCCAAACATCGACCTTAATAAGCCAGCCGCCAAACGCAAATGGAAGATTTCGGATAACGTTCTCATGGAACTGCGAAAGGTAAGCATTGATTGCATCATGCCAACCATGCAGTATACTCACGTCTGAAGTGCTCCATCCATCCTTGGCTATTGAATAACGGCCCAGAAAGTTCAAATGATTCTGCTAGCTCCCTTCTCTCGTGCTCAGGAAAGCTTCTTGCGTTGAGCAAGTTGGTCCACCACTTCGTCTTCACCGAAAAGAAGAAGGTCGTCATCTTTTCTTGTTTCGTCAAGGCTCTTGACCTTTGCGAGGAGCTCTTGGAAATCCTGCAGAGACGCGGTTTCTTCGAATATGTCAGGCTTGACGGGAGTACTTCTCGAGCTTGGCGCAGGCTCTGCGTCCATCTCTTCAACAACCTTCCCCAGTTCATGGTCTTCCTTGTATCAATTCGGGCCGGTGG